ATATTATCGAGATTGCATTTTTGCCATATCGCCCAGCCGTAGCCTTAACCACCTCCCAATCAATCTCTCTCTTCTCAAATCTTCTAGTGGGCAAAATCAATGGTTAATTTGGGCCACCTTTGGGCTGCGGGCCCTAGTTTGGGCATCTCTGATTTAGTGATTACATTTAGATTTGTTTTTGTAATTGTATGTTTTACAAGTTGTCGATTGATAAAATATTCCAATTAAAATCGGCAGAGAATTTGCATGCACTAACATTTTGAAGCTGTAATTGTTTTTAATTGGAACTTTAATTCAGAAAAGATCCAACCGTGCAAGTGCAAAAAGATGACGTATCAAAAGTGACAAAAGACATTAATAACTATGTTTCTATATTAAATAAATTAGGTTCTTTTAAGATCTTTATTTATGTAAAGCAGGGTTGCCCAAATTTTGTTATAGATAGAGGCTTGATGGAGGCTTGATAAAGGCTAGTGGGCTGAAGGTAAATAGTTGGCATGGGTAATTTCCTAATTTGTTAAATAACATTTAAAAATAAATAGAAAACATTGCTTTACACTGACTTATAAATTATTATTTTTTTAACATTTCTAGTCATGTTTTTACATTACAGTTAAAACAAAAACAATCTCAAGTAACAGAATGGAGTTCCATTAGTTTTTGCCTTGCTGTGCTTGCCGAAATCAGATTCAATTACAACATCTAATTAAAACATTTAATATCAGTTTGCTTTTTTGTAGCTCAGCAGTAAGACAAACAAACAAAAAAGGTCACAGCAAATTAGAAATGAGGTGACACGGTGGCTCAGTGGTTAGCACTGTTGCCTCACAGCAAGAAAACCGCTGGATCGAGTCCGAACACTCGGAGGAAACCCACACGAACACAAAAACATTCGCTGTAGGTGAATTGAATGAACTAAATTGGCTGTAGTGTGTCTATGTGAAAGAGTGTGTATGGGTGTTTCGCAGTACAGGGTTGCAGCTGTAAGGGCATCCGCTGTGTAAAACATATGGCGGTTCATTCCAATGTGGCGACCCCTGATGAATAAAGGGACTAAGCCGAAGGAAAATTAATGAATGAAAATTGGAAATGACGATCTCTTTTAAGGCATTCACCCCAACCCTCTCCATCATTCTCACTCTCTTTTTAGATATGATGGTGGGCCAAATCAAAAGTTACAATGGGCAACCTTTGGCCCTCGAGCCCTACTTTGGGCATCTCTGATTTAAAGCATCATAAAAAATAAATGTAACAATCCATAAACATTTTTAATGGAGAAAGAAATCAACATATACAAATGATAAATGATGATTATAATGACATTGCTGAAAAAATTCAGATTTTCCATCTCATGAAATACATTTTAGTTTTACAGTTTAAAAATTTAGAAATAGTTTTATATAAATATAAATATATATACACACACACACACACACACACAGACATACACTTTTTGGTAAAATGAATGCAGCTTTAATCTTGTGTGAAACATTTTTAGACTCTTATCAAGTCATTTAGTACCATTTCAGTGTAAATATGAAGTTCTAAGTGTCTTAACTGCTGTTTTTTTGTTTGGTTAGATTTACATGTAATGCTTTAACCTGTTGTCTGACATCCTCTGTGGTGGCAGCCGTGCATATTTGGCCTGTCTGATGTTGAATGGCATGCGTGTTAACATTTCGCCTTTGCAGTGCAAGTGCAGATGCGTTTGGCTTCGGTCGTGCTAAGGTGCCGTGTGCGTACACATTTGTCTGTCATCGGTAATGTATGTGTGATTGCGTGTGTGTGTGTTCGAGTTCTGAGTACTCTCTAATCCCCCCCTCTTCATGAATACATTAGCGGAGTGTCTTAAACTCAGCTTAGCTGGCGGCTCTGGAGGCACATCACATCCTATTACCTACTTTAAATCATTAATGTGACATCGTTTTCACTCAATCTCCAAACACCCACGCTTCAAATCTGCACATTTCACTGAGCTGTCGCAGAAGCTCTCTGAGCACACATACACAGACATATGCATCATGCGTGCAGACATGGTAACTGTAAAAATACATAAGCTAGCATGAGCTTACAAACATGTAAAAACAGTAAATACACACACTGAATTATGCTAATTGCTTTCCTCAGATGATGTCGTTTCCTTGTGAAAGCATCATTCCACACTTTTTTTTTCCTTTGGAGACTCAGCAGAGATGGCAAAACAGACAGCAGGAAAGATAATGCAAGGAATCAGATGTTGCTTTGCTGTACTTTACCTCATATTGAGCAGATGCGCGCACACACACACAGCCTTACAAAACACTCCATTCAGTATTAGCTACAGGCAAAAAATCAAATATTTACAGTGCCCTGAGCTACGCTACTTCACTTAAAGACTTAAAGACTCAATTTTCCAGCCCACTTTCCACTGCGTTTAAACGAAAATTTGGAGTACTTAACTCCCTCTCAGACAAACACTCCAGAAAGCAGCACAGACCCACCAGAGAGGAAACGCATTACAGGGCCAGGAAAGACAAGAGCACTGAACCCAACAGCATTGACATTAACACAACTATCACATTTCGCTAGGTAAAGCTTGTGATTTTAAGAAGCCAGGCTTACCTTCATCCATTTTTCCCTTCTGCTGTTTTCATTCCTCCTTCCATGCTTGTTGGGGTTGATTAGACCAGTCATGTCATTAGACGTGAACCATGTGGTTCCATGAGGACTTCTGGCCTTCTGATTGGTGGACAAGGTGTCAACTGTTTTTTTTAAACAATTGTATTTGGTTGAGGTACAGAGTTTTAAAACAGCCTTGGTTTGGGAAGCATTTGATTTATTTTCTCTAGAGGCATTTCAGACATTTCTTGTAAGCCTTGAAACTAAGTCAAACAGAGTCACGGCATTAGGAGGCTGAATTTGAAGCAAAAAAGAATTTGAACATGGGAAAAAAGTCAAAACACTTTTTATAAGGAAGCTATCATAAAAACAGTCACATCAAAAATGATGCACAGCTTAAAGATTTGTATAAATATATACAAAATATAATGCCCAATCAATTTTTTTGGCATTTAATTACTATGAAGTGAAGAGCTATTGGTTCATTGTAAAAATGATTTTTTTTTATTTTGTTTGCAATTCTTTACTTATGTTGTGTAAACATCAAGTTACATTTTCATAAGTGATTGAACATGCATTGAAACCATATTAAATGCAACAAGACAACTACTTTAGTGTTTTTGGTGACAAGTGGATTAGATCATTTTTCATCATCAATCAGCATAACCAGACACGTCTGTAAAACATTTGCTTCATATTTGTATTAAATATTAAGTTTATTTTCTTTTCGGCTTAGTCCCTTTATTAATCCGGAATCACCACAGCGGAATGAACCGCCAACTTATCCAGCATACGTTTTAAACGTGAACACGGGGAGACCATGCAAACTCTACACGGAAATGCCAACTGACCCAGCGACCTTCTTGCTGTGAGGCGACAGCACTACCTACTGTGCCACTACACCAGGTTTATTTTAAGTATTAATATTGAAAATGATGTTAAGTATTTTGGTGCATCCTTAAATAATATTTTAACATGTCATCAAATGTTTTTTGTGCAAAATAGATCAAATAAGATTAAGTTTGGTGCGTAATCTGTGGTGTCACTAAATTATCATTAATATGAGCGTCTTCTTTAAATCATTGTAATGTTGACTGATCGTAATAGTTGGATACCTTTTTGTGCCATTTTGCAATATTTTTCTCCAAATCTTTTGAGGGCAGCTGAGGAGCTTCTTTATTTTGACTAAAGTGTAATCCAAACATAAAAGTGGTATTTTTTATTGCTTAAGGTTCTTTTTTATAATGAAACTATCACAGAACAATCAGATCAGAAATGATTGCACAGCTTAAAGCTTTGCATGAATATATACAAAATATAATGCCCAATCTTTTACAATTATTTTATTTATTGTTTGCATTAATTTGCTATAAAGTGAACAGAAACTCGATTTTAGTGTGCAACTTCTTTGTGTAAACATCAAATTACATTTACATAACTGATTGACCATGCATTGAAACCATATTACATGCAATAAGATGATTACATTAGTGTTTCAAATAAGTTTTGTGACAAGTGGGTTAGAGAATTTTCCATCATCATTCATTAAAAACGCATACTTCTGTAAAATAAAAAATATTTGTTTTGTGTTTAATATTAAGTTTAAGTATGAATATTTAAAATGATGTCTAGTATTTTAATGCTGCATAGCCTTCATTGACATGGACATTATTCTTAATGATTATAAATGTATAAATAAATAAGATTTTGTTTGTGGAATAATGAATAGTTATTCATTATACCACTAAATTATTATTTATATGGGTGTCTTCTTTAAATTGTTGTAATATTGTATGATCATCTTAGCTTTTTTGCAGAAATAATAAACGTCACGCAATGTATAATCTTTTGCCTCCAAATCCTACTGTTACACTCCTTTGAGGGCAGCTGAGGAGCTTCTTTATTTTGACTGAAGTCTAATCCAGACAGAAAAGTGGTATTTTTATTACTTTCGGTTCTGTCATTGAATGATAATACTGGGCAATCCTTTTGATTTGTTTCACAAATATTATTTCTAATTGAAACTAGTGATTTAGAAAGTCTGGTTTAAAAATGTTTACATCTTTGACCACCTACTTGAGGGGGAGCGATCAAGGCAGACCTTTAAGATTTGTTAATACAGCGCAATTCATGAACTCTCTTCTACAAATATTTGTATAACCTCAGCAGTTGTCCTACTGTCCAGAGTGCAGTACATCACTCCAGGCACACACAATGACGTTCGGCAAAGGGAATTCCTTTCGCTTGGCCTAAATATGCTGGCACGTAACAGTAGACAGATAGTATTTAGTGTAAAGTGTGGTGATTTTTGGCAGTTCTGGACCGTCATTTAGCAGCTCTAGAGTTTAATTATGGAGTTGGTGAGTTGCAGTAGGGCAGAAAAAGGAGCCACAGACACACAGTAGAGATACAGAACACGTTGCTGTTTTTATTTGAGCCTTGACTGGCAGTAATACTGAAAAACGTCAACTTAGAACAGATGGTGGTAACCCACGGCTTGCTTTTTTTTTTTCTTCTTTTTTCCATAAGAGTACAGTGACTCTTACTTTTATTGTGGCATGAATAACATCAATAAAAGAGAGAAAGAAATATACAACTTATATTACACTGTGTTATGAACAAAATATAAATCTATAACTCTATGCTATATTTACATAATTATCTTTCTCAGTTTTCAAGTTGAGATGGTAAGATAAGTTTCTAAGTACTTTTTGTTTGTTGTCATTTACCTTGTTTTGAGCTCCACACATGACTTTGATTGTCTTTTCAATTATTGTTCGTAATACAGGCCATCATCAAAATAAGGGGTGTTCATTTAGACCATGAGGTTCCCGTGCAGACAGGCCGTGAGCTTGTACGTTAAACCAGCATGAGTGTGCCTGTCAAATGATATGATTGTGGGATTTATGAAACATGGTCACACTAGATGGCGGCTTTTCAATGATTGTGACTTTCGTTGTCTGAAAAAGGTGTGATTGTAATGTCACTATCATGAGCTTGATTGACAGAGGGAGACATCGTGTGGAGCTAAAACAATTCTGGAGATAAAACATCTAATATGGGTGTTCAGTGGAGCGTCACTGGAATCAGACAATCTGATCAGCAATTCTGGAAGGAGTAGTTCACCTGCCACCAAGCCGTGCAAAACAAGCTCAACTTTTTTCTTCTGTGAAAACCAAAGTTGCTTACTCTCCTGCAATGAAAAGCTAAATTTAAAGTCAATTATGACCGTCACAAAGCAATCATATAGATTTATTGGACTATATGTAGCACAGTTGAATGCAGCACATTTTAATGATGCTTTTCTTTCTTTTTAGAGCTTCAACGTCTCTTCAACTGGTTCGTTCTGCAGAAGAAAGTAAGTGATACATGTTTTGTCATTTTTGGGGGGTGAACGATCCTCGATTTGTACTATAATTCAACACAACAGGTAAACAAAAGCATTTGTCCAAGCCAATGATGTTCCAATGAAATGTAAGAGAGAGGATGACAAATATCAGTAAACAAGATCAACGCTCTTTCTGTTCAATAGCAGTTGGGGTATAATATAGCTGTTTTCTTTATCAAAAGAAAAAGAGAATTAACAGATAGGAAACTTCACATTATACATAAACCATTACAAATAAAAATATCAGGTTCTTCTTATGTTTGTCTCCGAGTGTCCAGAGTCCTAGTGCTTTAAGAAATGTGTTTGGAGTTCATGAACGATGCACGGAGGAGAAAAAGAAAATGAAAAAAGAGAAATGTCTCTTTTCCTTCATATCAGCAGTTCACCGTGACCACTTTTCAGAAATATACCAGCGTCAGAACAGGATAAAAAAACAAAAAACAAACAAAAAAACAGTAACAAAAACAAAACGAAACATAATAATTAGATCTAAATACCTACCCAGCTAAATATAATGCTTTATCAAGCGCAGTTTCCATACGATCATAAAAAAATCCAACTGGAGGAAAATAATAAATTATACTGTACATAACTTACTAAACTCAGGAAATGCTGCCTATTTTTATAATTATTGTTAATAATATTATTACACTAGAGGCAGTTTTAATGATAAAAATAAAATACAGTATTTGCAAATACAAACTAAAACATTGACATGCAAAGTCTGAAACAGCTCCTCTCAACCTCAACAGCAGAGTGACGTTGACATGGAGGCAAAACACAGATACAAACAGAGACGAGACGGCCTCATTGAAACCAATGAACTAGACAGAGACGAGCGTCGGTCATCAATTTGCTAGCGCTGCTGGCATCAGAGTACCTGGAACTTTTTCTTCCAAAACAATCTCAAGTAGGCCAAAAAAAAAGTATAGAGTTTGATATGTGCTGTGAGTGGACGGATTTTGGGTGGACGTAAAGGGAGAACACGGAGATATTAATGGCAGGAGTCTGGCCGCTGTTCACCTAACAGCTTGTGTGTCTCTCTCATCCAGCTGCCCGCTTATGCCCACACCAGGCCAGAGACAGGCTGGCAGAGTAGTTACAGTTAGGGCAGCCGTCAATCAAACGCCATCGCCGTGCCAACAGCCGCCACACAGGTGCAGTAAGATGGAGTGGGTCAGTCAGAGCCACACAGAGAGCGATGACTGATGGCACGACTCACAGACTCCTCTGCACTGATCAACCAAGTGATAGATAGGAAATAAAGAGAGGAGAGAGACGGAACACAAACCCCTGCGGAGGACGAGAGAGATGTGTGATATATTAAGGGGCGCTGATTGAAACGCACACTCGTGCTTGTCTTGTACAGAGATCCCTGCTTTCTCTCAGAGCTGTGCTTTGAACACTGGGGCTTGTGGGAACTCTATTCTCCGCCTTCAATACTCCATTCAAACACAGACTCTTCTCTAGAGAGCTTTTCTCTGCGAGTCTCCTCTTTTGCTTTCGGGTTGAGGTGCACCCTGTGATGACAAAAACAAGTTGTTCAGGGAGACAAAGAGAAAGACGGAAGAAAATGAAAGAAAAAATGAGGAAAAACAAAACAAAAACATAAAGAAAAATAAGGAAATGCAGTGTTCTTTTTTGGGTTTCTTCTGCATGAATCGTACGCATTGAATATTATTATTTTTTTTTGTAAATGTTCACATGACCAGCACATCAACGGTCCATATGTAATAAAAATTAACTTAAAACCTAGCAAAAGCCGCGTTCATCCAAACACACACACACACACACACAAACATAAAGAAATGTGCACGCATACAATAATTCTGCTCGAGGCTTCACTCTCCACCATAACCATCGCCATGTCAGCTGTTCACCAAACACAAGGTTTGTGCTATCTCATAAAGTTTGTCTCCACACCTGAGAGAGACGTCAACATCCAAAGTTTCCCCAGAAGAGGAAGAGAAAGGAACAGTAAAAGTGTGTCAAGAGGAAAAGATGTGAGGACGGAGGGATTGTCTGTCATCCAGCGGTGTCCGAACTCCTGAGTGAAGGGACGCGAATTCTCCCTTCCATCCAAAAGAAAAGAAATCTTTGAGTGAGAGGACATGGGCGTGAGGATGATAGAAAGATTTAGCTAATAGCAAGCCAAAGAGAAAAAAAAAGCAAAATGTTTGTCGTTTTACTCTTGTCAGGTGCTTTACGGTGAAGAGGAAAATAAACGTCTTTTTTTCTCTATTAAAACTGTAGCACAAAAACAACAAAATCACATTCACAAGCCACTTGTTGGCACTGTGTACCTGAGTGAGAATATTATAGAACCAAGAAAAAAAAGCTGTTTAAAAGTGTCTCTTTAGAAACAAACAGGTCCACCGTTTTAAAGTGTCTATGACGGGTCGACTGACAGGTCCTTAGAAATAAATGTCTCAATAACAAACTGGTCATTTCTCCTATGTTGTCGTAGCTTACTCGTGATACAATATGAACTTGCCGCGGCACGTTCGCTCAGCGAGAGTCAAGGCAAGTGTTACACTTCCTTCACAAGACCCTCCTGTTCATGTAACAGTCACATTGATTGACAGATCCTGTGCTTTGCCGTTGATATCAGGCTTGGCTCGGGAGGGGTCCTGATTGGACGGTGTCTGGGGTGGAATTAAGTTTGTTTACGTGAGATGCCAGGTGACTGGTGAGTTGGTTGTGATTTGCAGGTTTACTGAGTGATGTGATTCTCGCTGTCGCTGCCATAGTCTCCATCATCGTCCTCGTAGTCAAAGTCATCATAGGCATCACCGTTGCCATCGTCCATTCTCAGCTCCTCCTTCACACGAGGCTCCACCTCTTTGAAATAAGAGGCTTGGCTGGTGGGTGGGACTGGTTCGGGGCTACTTGACATGCTTGAGTGCTCAGAGGGCATCTGTGGAGAGGGCATTCCCGCCATAGAGAGAGCACCCGGGTACACAACGCCTGCTGAAGACAAAGGCAATTGGGCCTGCTGTCTGTAGAGCAACAAAACACAATCTGTTAGCAGGGCCTGGGTAAAAAACATTTTTTCAGATGGTTGTTTGCAACAAGCAATGAACATGGCTTTCTTGTCAATTTGATTTATACATGTTGAACTGTTAGAAATGTTAGCAATACTCAAGATAAACAATTATTAATAATGTGTTCTTGTATGGGGATTTATTCTCCACGATGAATGTTTAGCGTTCTCCTGCCTCCACTGCCTAGACTGCAGCTCTGCACCAGAAGTTTGGCCAGAGGAGAAATGGTCGTGCCCCACTGAGCCTGGTTTCTCTCGAGGTTTTTTCCTTCGCTTTTGTCAATTGGTAAAGTTTGTTCCTCGCCACTGGCTTGCTTGTTTGGGATTTGTGGAGCTGCACATCGATGGATTTGCTCTTTAGTGATTTGACTTTCAGCAGTGAAAATTAAACCACTCTGAACTGAACTAAACTGAACTTCAACTCTGGAAACTGGACTGAAGCAGTTTTCATTTACTAGAACTTCTAGGCTAAGCTGCTTTGACATTTATTATTGAGAGAAACTGGATATTTAAATGTTTTTTGTAACCTAAGGAATTGATTTGATGGTAAAAAGAAAGGCTGTATAATTAGAGGGTTCGATGATGTCTGTCTAAACGACAGTTACATAAGCGAATTTTATGCATCTATTTCGTGCACTTTCTTGTAGTGGAGGGCCCATGGATGAGTCTATGTATGTGTTTTTTTTTTTTTTACCCTTTTTGCTCTAATATTCTCAGATACGCTCACACAGTTAACATACAAATGTGAAAGGAGACAACAGAAAAGATAGAGCAGCTCAATTGTGCTCTGACAATTTCAAACAGCAAAGTTTAAATAACGTATGTCTAGCACACTTCAATAATACATCCTTTAATATTTAAGAATAAGGTCAGTAGGGAAAAAGTAGATAATTTGTGGCTGCTTGAATTCATTTGACCATTGGAAGTGGTCAAAATAGACGAGATGAAAACATTTCAGATCCCTTTTACACCTGTATTTGATTTTGTCTACTTGTAATCAATTCAGCAAAATTTCATCTTAACACCAGGTGCTAACAAGGCCCTAGATGGAGCTAATGATCCCTTTGGATTACTGTGCCTCATTCCCAATTGGGCCAGAAATGAGAATAATAGAATTGAACAGAATAGATGTAATTTGATCAATGAAGCTTACCCCACAGTGAAGTACTGCCGCATTTCTTGTCTGCGATTGCGCATGATTGCCTTATATTCACCAATGCGCAACTTCTTTCCATCCACCAGACAGGTGCGTTTGGGCCGTGGTTTGTATTTGTAGTCTGGGTATTTCTCTAGGTGCTGCTTACTAAGACGGGCCTGTTCTTCATAGTATGGCTGCTTTTCCAAGTTGGTCATCGACTTCCAACGAGAACCTGCATGAACACCAGGCAGTTAGAGAACAAGCACTCACCTCATGCTCACACACAATGGGACACCGCTACAGCTAGAAACATTTAGAGGGACATCTTTTGGTTGTCGTCTCCCAATGGAAATGCTCCCTAAATCAGTGGCAGTAGTCAGGTGAGCTCAAAGCCAGTCTAATTATACTGGGCGTCTTTTAGACAGGTTGGTCAACTTAATCATTCCCACTGACATTTGTTTTTTTTTTAAATATGTAATTGTGCACACTGCTGATATACTCACACTTGCTCAGTGCCTTTTTTAACTGCCTATCGTTAGCTTCAGACCTGGCACTTTGCACTAAGAGAGCGTTTTTGTTTGGTCTAATGAGTACCTTTGAGTGGAGCTGATGTCAAACAGAGTAGAACAGAGTGTGCTCTCTGCCCTCCAAAACACACTCGCACACACGCCGGTGATGTGCGACATTATTCCAGGTGACAGCAGGTTAAGTGGGCCACTAACACACTCCATCTAATTATCAGAGCTCAACAGGCATAACTGTGGGCCTGTGTCTCTTATTTTTCATTATCAGAGGCTTGCGAACACATACACATGCTTATACACAAGTACACACTGTCCCAAAAACAACAAATGTGCATTTTAGGGTGTGTGTATATGAGCCTGTGTTGAATTTACACAGTCCTACTGTATGTTTAATAGGAAAAAGCTGTCACCACTGGCCCTGACATGCACCCAGCGCTGGAAAGGGGAAACTCCTTCTGTTAACAATTGAGAGAGCGGGGCCTTATTAAAACCAGATTTTCCGCCGTTATAAAACGCTTAGGAGCTCTTTAAAATGTCAAACACAATCCCAGAGGTCTGGAGAAAATGTCAGACAGACTGGAGAGCTGGTTTAATGCATAATGAATTATATCATCATTGTTGGAGTCGGCCCTCTAGAGCGATTCATTAGGCGGTGGTTACACAATGCAGTGCGGGAGAGGGTTGTGTGTGTGCACTGAGGATGAAGAACAGAGGGGATTCTCTGTGCCTGGCTGGATAGCTCTTCCCAAAGGAGCCAGTCTTCAAGCCACACCCACTTTTATGTACTCACAAATCAGGGAATGACTGTGTGTGGTGAATCAAAGTTGGATAGGAAATAAATCTATCAAATAGCTCCAAAATGTACAAATAGAAATAAGAGACAGAGCGAATAAACCTGTAGTGGTTAGATAAGGAGCTGAAGAGATTTACTAGCCCTGATTCTCACCGAGGATCTTGCTGATATTTGAGTTATGCATGTCAGGGAAGGCCTGAAGGATTTTTCTCCTCTCGTCTTTAGCCCAGACCATAAAGGCATTCATGGGTCGCTTGATGTGTGGTTCACTGCTGCCACGCCCTCGAGCCTCTCGGAAGATCCGCGAGTCCGACACACTTGGGCTTCCTGGAGAGCAAATGCCAAGAGTTACTGTTTGTGCGAAGACAAATGTGATTGTACATACACTAAACATAAAATAAATGTAGGGCTCAGCTTCATTTATCCATTAAGATCAACTTGGATCATGAAAATAGGCACTTAATAATAAATAGAGCAAGATTCAAAGTCGATTTCCAGTTTAAATGCATATCTCAAATACAGGTCAGGTGAGCTTGTAGTAATTGTGAGAATGTAAGTGACTAGGTTTGGCGGTTGAACATTGTGCTAACAACTCACCTCATAAAAACTGGTGCGGCTAAATATCAACTTCGATATAAAGGGTCATGGGGGAAAGTGACTAGGCTTGTTTGGGTTAAAAGGATTGGAGAAGTCTATTTTGGACATTTATTTTATGCATAGATTAGCTGTTTCAATAAGACTTGAATTTTAATGTTAACTTTACACTGAACTTTTTTATTACTACTTAACATCCATTGAGAGTGTAATTTATGATGTGTGGCAAAAAAAAAAAAAACTCACCATCTGAATCGCCACTGATGCCAAAGTCCATCATTGCATGGGTGAACTTACTCTCTTCAGACTGTTTTAACTGCTGGCTCAGGCTCTCGAGAGCAGCTTTTTCCTGTGCAAACACAACATACAACCAACCCAGTTAGATTCATAATCGACAAACCAAAAAGACTCATTTGCATAAACACCAATGAACTGATGAATCAAGCGCAGGGAAAAAGACTCAGAAGAAATGAAAATGAATGAAAATGTGAGCTAATGTTTATCCATCAAATACAAGTAGCCTAGATGCCACCTGCAATCTATTTACACTTATTCTTTCCCTCTCTTGTTCACTCGATCTCTGTCTCTCTCGCTTAGCCCTAAGGTCAGTGCATTAGAGAGAGTGAGCACTCTAGAGATGAGAGCGGGGCTGGACCGCACAGCCTCCTGGGTATTTATTACACCCAATAAAAAGAGATTTACTATGCATTTACATGGCTAATGTAGCTGGGATGCATATTTCAACACAGCACCCCCTGCTCTCTCTAAACATGCACACCCCCCTTTACCCCCCCGGAGCTGCATCTGGGGCTTAATTAGTCAATTAGACTCCATCCTGAATCCACGCTACGTTTAAAACACACTCGCATACAGAGTCCTCACCATTAGAGAGTGACCCGTGCCTTCTGCGACTCTGTAATGAAATGCATTACACCATTTCGCAGCCATCAAGATTTAATTGTTCAGACTGAGTTAGTGAGTGGGGTTTAAATGAATGTGTAATGGAGAGAGAATCTCTCCCCGGAGAGATAAGGATAGAGAGAGAGAGAAATGATCAGGTTTGATAATGTGACAACACAAACTTAGGCTTAATTCCTAAGGTATGTAATATTGGTTATATTTATCCAAGAGTACTCCTGTTTATCTCTACAGAAAGTATGTTTACAACATTTAAGAGCTTTGAAAAAAACTGTTCTGGGTAAGAACTACTATATAATATTGCATACATATATTGCATGCATAAATATTCTTCATAATACATAGCTAATTTTGAATGGCTCTTAAACAGAGATGCATAAGCTGTTTCAGTCACAACATGTACCAACAAAGGTTAACTGGGTCTTTCTAACCAGCTAAACCTTGTTTGGAATGCCATTAAAACTTCTTCATCTCATAGACGATTGACCTGGCTCGTCTCCCGCAATCCATTTAGCTTAGTGTGACACAAAAGGGCTTTGGGAACAAGGCACGGTTTGACCGCACCATGTGTTCCTAGTTCAAAAAGCACACCATACACTCTTCAGAGAGTCTTGGTTAATATAGAGAGGGACAGTAACTGTCTAAAATCAGGAGATAATGTACTGAAGAAGAAAACAAACATCAGATGGGCTGGTTGATGTGCAGGAGGCAAGTCACGTGACAAATAAATTGGGAAAATTATTTTGATTTAAGGGATTTAGCCCCTGTCTATTAGATTTGCAGCAGTCTGTATATTTCTGTACACCTGTAAGCTGGTAAAATCGTTTCAAAAATCAAAGTTTGAGAAAATGGACAAAATATTGACTTTAAACTGCACTGATCCTGCATTACATCTTTCTTCCAGTCAGATGCTGTATAGAATGAATATGCCCCATCTTGACCAATGTGTAGCAGACCATACATCATTGCCATAATAAAACTAATGCCTGATGGGTATTTTTAAATAGTTTAAATATAAAGTTATATATTAACATCACTATTTGTTTCTACCTGAAATATATCAAGTATTTGTTGACTTTCTGTGTGACACATCATCGTTAACACACTGACTCTTCACATGCGTGCTTCCCTTAAACTGACCACAACCTGTTTGCCATTTTTACTGCTTTAGAAAGTGTGGCCTTAATCAAAAATAACCCTCTGTACTCTAAACATGTAAAAGTGCAGCACAGCGGGCAGTTGTGTGTGTGTGAAAGGATGTGAAACTGTTGTCAGGGTAAAGTGCAGCTGATCTGTGGTAAATCATAATAAGGATAGAGTGCTTGGAGATGTGGATTATTCCTAATGCACCTTCATTAACCTAGCAGCAATCAGCACAGTCACTAAGCCTGGCCAAGAGAACAGAAAAAAAAACCATCAATGTTTGAATGTGTGACATACATAAACATACTTTTGTGAAGCATTTACCTACTGTGTATTTGGCAATGCTGATGTGAATTTACACACAAAGGTTTATGAAATAAGCTAAATTTCTCTGGTGGTGGAGAACACTAGAAACTATGGACACCTGTGTATATACAATCTTCTTGCTTTTCTAATGTGGAGAATAATGCCATTAGAAGCAGACGAGGCAATAGAGGCTGTAATTTAATGCTTGTTTACTGACATACTCTGCTTTTCTAAAACATGTGTATGCATATTCCTCAGAAAGCAAGTGTTTTATTATTTGTGGTCAAAGGCATTTCTTGTGGACCAGCTGACTTCAGTATGTTTAGCAAACAAGCCCAATTTCGCCACACGGCCGAGGATTCACTCCAGTCGCTTCACATTAACATCAGCTACGCCATTAAAATTAGCGTTTCGTTCACTGCACCCTGCCTGCCCTGAGCCTGCCTCTTAGACATGACCATCGTGTACAACAATAGAGCTTTCAGATCTTAGTCACCTCCATTCCTCCACTTTACAAGAAGAGCTTTGGGAAATCACTTTGTTGAGAGACTAATGCATTCTGTTGTAATTAACAGGTCTGTTTGTCGACTGTTTTAATTTTCATTTGCTATATTTTTTGGTGATAAGCAAGTTAGTATCTGCTGATTACTTTCATTCACTTAAAACAGAGAGTGAATCTGTTAATGCAAGATCACCATGAATCGAACCTTCTCTGAGCGTCCGTTGTTGAGGCTCAAGCTGTTGACTGCTGCTACTTTGGCGTCCAGAACCTGCTCCTCTCTCTTTAGCTGTTCTTTCATCTTTCGGGCCTCCTGGAAAGCTTTGGTCACGGCCTCATGGTCATTCAGGTAGCCGGCAGAGGTGATGGATGATAACAGGTCTGAAAGAATTGACATGTATGAATAAGACACAACTTTCAATAAGGAACAACATTTGACTAGACAACAAGCAGGAAAATATGAAAGTTTTTAGATCTCAAGCAGTCCTTTACAAATAGTTCCTTCATCTATCAGTAATGCCTTTAGCGCACTTCAAAAACAAAAAATACATTTTTGATATCAGTTTTGGGACTTAAGGCTGATTTATACTTCTGCCTCAAGCGCACTCGTATGCTACGGCGCTGCCTACGCGTGAACGCATAGCCCTCGCCAGGGCCGTCAGCGTCGCTGATGCGCACCTCTCAAAAAATGTAACTACACGTCGCAACAGTGTTTTAGAGTAAAAACGATTTGGTCCACACTGGCATTTCACCTAGCGTCTCTGAACAACTCTCTGTCCATACTAGCCTGCGAAAAACGCATATCACGTGACCACACACACTCTGGCATGCACTGCAGCGATAAGAGCTGTGCATGTCAGACTGTTCATCAAGGATCTGCCGTTGGATCTGATCTCACTATAGTGATATGTAATTCATCTTGTTGTCTCTATCTAACGACATATTCGCCGACTTTGGTCTGTTGAATCTACTACTTTTTCTCAGGTAACGTGTTTGGTGCAAACATAAGTTAATATATTAATGTAACCACGTACACTGAATCTGCACATTTGATTGATTGATTGTTTGCATTTATTTTCTATAATATATAAATTTATTGTATGTTTTATTTTTATAATGGATATTATTGATTATTAAAACTGATATGCAGCAAAAGAGAGGGTAGGCTGTTTCGTATTTTTTGATGAAAATGAAAGGAGGCAGTTATGTTAAAGGCTTCGTTTTGTTATAAATGTGGATATGAAGATGACGCTCATATAAATATGTAGCTACACAACTCCTCAACATTTAGCCGTCTGCTAAGTTGTCAATACCAAAATGAAAATAGGCAGTTCATCATATCCTGTCTTCATTTTATTGTTAAGAAAGTGAAGCAGTCTAGCCAGGGGGATGTGAATGAGGTTATACAGTACACTCTTCCCTTTGAAGATTTACCCGACATATTCTTGGGAGTCTGTTTTCCATATCAAACTTGCGAAGTCTGAACTTACAAGGAGAGGATGCAAGACTGAACTGTGTGTAGGCTACTTAATATTGAGGAAAAAGCCCCAATCAATGTCTGCAGCCACGCCTCCATTTTTATAGATGTCTCCATTTTCCCCATCCACGCTGGCACGGAGCAGCAGGGTTTTAAAACCAAAACGACCTCTTCAGCATTTCCGAAACACTGCGTTTTCGGTGCTTGAAAACTCTGACGTAGTGTGGACTGATGGTGATGGCGTAACCGTAGCAAAACTTATGTGTTTTCAAACTAAAATGTATTAGTGTAAACATCGCCTTAAAGTGCGGCCAGCTAACAATATAACCCTGATGGCAATCTGGACATTACAGATCAGCATGTAGTGTGCTGTAAGGTCACTTAGCAGTTGTGTTAACTTTATCATTCACACAGTTACCATTTGACTTTCACCTCTTTCACTCATTACCTATATGGCACAACCAAGTCTTTTAGGATTCAATCAAAGTGAAGAGATATAAAAATATATATTGAATTTCAGGCACTATGGTCCCAGAAAATATCTCCAGCACCCTGGAGCTGACATACACACTTGTCAAAATACATTTTGTGATTGCTTTTTCTAAGAAGCAGTCTGCTTTAATAAGGTGTCAGACCTTTGGGACTTTAAGCAATGTTTTAAGCTTTAGACTTAAATCATTGCTTTTGTAGGCAGCTACAGAGTTTTGGTAAAGAGCAAGAAATGTTAAAATCCAGTTGAAAACAGATGCTGAAGCCTGATGCAAATCTCACAAATCTTCATTTTTTACATTCAGGGAAGTGGTAAAAAGTGCCATTTGTCTCTTATATCCCACATACATAAATACAGCCTCCCTCTCTCTAAAATTCAGTGTGCTTTTATTTAGACCAAAGCTCATGGAAATCTTAAAAGTAGGGGAAAAAGTGGAGATTAGTTATAATAAAGCCATAAGCAGCCTAATTTGGCCCATTCCGCAACATCTGCCTCCGAGCATATCAAAGATGTTTCCAACCATCTTTTCATGGCTATTATTTGCATTATTCTCAGCAGCTTAACCGCCCAAACCGTTAGCCGCATCTGTTGGGTAGTGTGTGTGTGTGTGTGTGTGTGTGTGTTTGTGTGTGTGTGGTGGAGCATTATCTCGCCAGGATAGATCTAACAAAGACCTGTGCTAGATTATGAGTCTTTATCTGGCCTAATCCGGTCACTAATGCTGGATAGGATGGATTAAATGCTTTCATTTGAAATAACGGAGGAGGGAACTCTTAAAAGTCATATCTCGGGAATCTGTTAAAGTGGCGATGGGTCACAGGGTGATATGGAGCCAGCACATTTCCTGACAGTCAATTTAATAAGAGGTCAAATAATGCCTGTGGTGTTAATTGAGAGCACTGACCTCAATAAAAATATGGTTATCTTCTTACATACAAAATCATTTCTTTAAAGAAGAGTTATAGATCAGATCAATAACCCAAAATATAAACAGTCCATCACACTTTACATTACAGTGACCCGGTGAGTGAAACTTTCTTTGTGGCTTCTAGGGCGAAAAAAAGGCAAGAGTGGCCTAGAGGACACAGCCCTTGACAGCCACTGTTGTGATTCTGTGGTGACAGTGACACAAAAAGATAGAGACGCATGTGGTCGTGTGTACCGGATATTCTCAGGACAGATGTCACTTAACAAGGTCAAACAGATGAGCGAGGTGGAGAACATGGATGATAGAAAGATAAAAAAATTGCACAAAAAGGTGTACAAAAAGATCCATCAAGTTTGAATAAAAAAGCCAGGTAACACGTGCATACAGCTACTGTACAAACAGCATGTTAAGTGGAGCTGTACTCTAGTCTTTGATATCACAATGCTTGCTGACCCTCTAAAGATGTACACCAGATGGAATAATCATTGGACATATGGCACTCTAAAACTTAATGATCTAAAAGAAGCATCCGCCGCAATGTGTTCTAAAGGATTCCAGTGAAAACTTCCTAATCCATTTTTCAGAACAAAAAACATCTGGGTGGCAAATCCACTAATCTGCTATTAAATCCCAGGATTTGTTGAAAAACACTGCGATTACAGGGAAGAAGTCTGAAATGGCTAACTGTTGTGAGAAGAGGAGGCATGGGGAGGGGAGAATATTGCTTTATTGTGTTATTAATGTATGTTGTTTGTGCTGTGGGTGGTAACAGAGTTGTATAAGAGGCTTGTCTAATCTCAGCGCCTGTCAGGAAGGCTTGTGTTGCTCTATTCAGCACCTCTAAACAACAGAAATAAACGCTGCTAAACCTTCCCGTTCGCTGTCTCGCTCTCTTTCGCTTTCAAACACAGCTGCTTAACAAGCTCTCCCCCACCATTTAGACTAATAAATGTTTGACAATGTGCCCTTTAGGCAAAATTAAATTCTACAAACCTAAAAATGTAACATCAATTACCGTCTCATACGAGAGTCTGTGCCAGCAGAAAAAAAACATATCCAGGGAGTAGGAAATGCTCTTGAGAGATATGTTTAGGGCAATATGTAATAACATAAAGCAGGTTATGCTGCGATTTGTTTGTGTTTATTAAATTGCAATGCACTGTGGAGGTGTGGGTACCTATTGAGCTGAGCCTGGATGGCGGTCCTCCGATGCTGGAGGGTGCGCTGTGCTTCAGGGACCCGGGGCCCAGCTTCAGGGCAGGGACCTGTGGGGAAGCGGGGGAGGTGGGTGACTTGCTCTCGGATGCCTTAGGCTTGGACGACAGATTCAAGGGCTGAGCGCCCTCGTCCTGCAAAACAGCAACACGTTTGGCCCGGTGTGATTTTTCTCCTCAGAGACTTGGGACCCAATCAAAACTCCCAGCAGGGGTCAAATCAGCTGACCGCATAGCGAAATATGATGTTTCAGAAAATGTGGCCAGGTCACAAGAAAAGGAAATAATTTTGGTTGTGCAGGCCAGTTGAAAAACCTGCTGATATTGAATTGACGTTGCGCACTGCTATGGCATAATCAACATGCAGCACACCCATGCTCAATCAACAGGGACAAAGCGAGCATACTATGTAAAGAAACATGCTTATGTGAGAAGATTCACACACATTTACCAAACATGTTGCGCATTGAGAAGAAAAAACATACAAGCACACACAAACACAAAATGCCCAAGCAATAATATATATATATATATATAATATATAAAGCACAAATGATAATTTGACGCACACATTACAGCCTCAGATATGTTCACAGATGTCAGTTGGCCTCAATTGGATAAAAATCAAATAACACTCTCACTTTTGCAGTTTATCAGTGGTGGATGGCTGTCAATACGGTACAAATGGCTACTACCCAGATATCATCCCCTGCTGACATTGTAATCACATCAAAGAAGGCACCATAAGGGCCAATTAGATCCCAGAACGGCAGATGCTGCACTGTGCACACCATCACAATGTTGCAATGAAGACTTAAACCTTCATTTAAGGTTTAATTGCTCTTAATTGCTCTCAAGATCTTTCTGTCTTCACTGTTGTTCTTACAGCTTCATATTTCTATACTTGGATCTCGTTAGAACCAAGTAAGCACCTCCAGAATCAAATGACACATCTGTCAATAAACCGTCTGGAAAAGTGAGTCGCAGGTCACTACTGAGCTTCCCATGGTGTAAGGGCCGGGACACACAACTAGGGCTTGGGATCGTGTCTTGACCAAAGAGCTGCACGTTAACACACCAAACGAATGAAAGCCGACTTAAACAAGAGCCACCTGCGCTAGATGACATGTCTTTTCATGCTACATGGGCCAGTAGTCTGCTTTTCTCATTCTGCAAAAGGAAACCAAACCTTCTGATGATCGCATGCAAAGCATAAACAAAGCAGCATTTAGTGCCATTATCACAGTAATTGTCACTCACGTTTGGTGTGGAACACACCAAACCAAGAAGCCTGACTGATGGACCTGCGAAGCCCAGAATCTGACAATCAGCTTGGTATGTCCTTTGTTGTGGCCCTAAGAGCTACTTGCTAAGATGCAGAGTGCTGCATGTGCACTATAACCCTTCTATCACAATCTTCTGAAACTAAAAACACATTTGCAGCAGCCATCGAGGACAACCACATAACACAGAGCTCTAGCCTCTGCTGTAACATTAGCAGACATTCACTCCTTTTCAAATGCTTTACACAGCAAGGCAGCATGCTAGGTTTTGGAGCAGAGCTTCTAAGGTCTGGAGAGCTTGATTAAGACCTTGCCTCAACACACATGCTGTGATGGGCCGTAACAGGATTGTCCTCATTAGCGCTGTTCTCAATGGAAGAAGAACCAGTGGGATGTGGACTCCATCATAAGGAAGGCACACAAAAGACCTTACTCAATGAGAACACTAAGACGCAATTGAGCAGAATACTGTATCATGACCCATATTGTGTTGGGTGTGTATCAGTGCTGCATTGAAGAGAAAAACTGAATATTTATGACAGATAATGCCTGCCTCCCGCCCTGATGGTGGATTGTTTTTCGAGAAGCAAATCCTTTGGTGGGATGTTAGCCAAAGAGAATGAAGCTGGTGAGAGGAGAACTAATGAAGACTGGCAAAGCCATGTGAGAGGAGGAAGGCTAGCTTTAAGATTTGTCATACATGTTACAGGAAGAGACAACTAAAAAACAAAAGGAATAAGCCTTAAGCTGATGTAAAATGATAAATGATAATATGATTAATTAAAATAAAATCAATAACTATTTGTAAATAATATTTCAATTCATGTGGAAGGAAAAATAATGTTGCTAGAGTATCTTTAAGGGGTCAATACCTAAAGATGTGATGGAACCTACTTTTAAAGCATGCAACAGTAAAGTAAGCTCAGACGTTAATGGCTAAATTGATAAAAGAACACTCGCTGTCAGCCAAGTAGTTTTGTGATTCAGTTTTGTGATCCAAGTTTCTTTTGCATTCAGTTAACACACACCTCTTTCACCTATCTGGTGATACAATCTACTTCAATTCACCGAGACCAACACATGGGCAGTGTCTTCAAGAGAAATCCTTAAGCCAACGGAGGCAGCACTGAACTTGAGTGAAGGAATGAGAGTGTGGATGTGTGAATCTGGGTAGGTCACAGAGTGAAAACTGTGATATAGGGACTGTGTGATGCACCTGAGTTGTGAGGCCTCCCCCAGGGTAAAGCACTTAAGCTCTGTACGCCTCAGTCCAACCAGCTGTCTGACACATGGCACACATCTCAAAATGAGAGGGAGAGTGGCAACTACCCCAGGGCAGCAACCCTGAAATATACATGCCCTGTCCTTCATGATGGCAAAAGCTTGCAAACGTAAAAAGAATAAGAAAGCTGTGATTGAGTTGAAATTTGAGGGTAAAAGGAAGATTTTGATTCTACTCTGAAATACTTTACAAGGAGCATAAATGTGACAGAAAGATATATTTAAAGAAAAGGTCATTTTCTCATGGCTCAGTGGCTGTAGAGGCCTAGCAGGTGCAAGCGGCACTGCCAATTATCTGTATTATCCCCATCCCTCTTCAATCTCCCCATGTATTTGGTCATGTGACAACAAAGAACCACATGTTTGGGGAAAATGGCCTTCATTAGCCTTTGACACAGTGAGCTACAGGGGGCAGACACAATCGATGGCTACTGCCAAAGCTACTGAGATGGACGGAGGGAAAGATATCCTGAGCGCTTCCTCTATGCAACAGGCATGTGGTTGAAATCCAGGTCTGTGGTCTAGCCTATCCAAACAGGCATTGGGCACAGCCGTGGCTCAAGGCTGGATAGGGAGCAGGCAACAGGCCTTCACACATGTTTATCCAGCTCTGGCTGCCCCACAGTCCAGCTATTGTACTGCTGAGCAAGACAGAATGGGCTAGCGGGGGTTCCTGGGCCGTCTAGAATGTCCAGCTTAGCAGGAGGGAAGAGAGGCCAGACAGGCTGATTTTATTTCTGCCCGGCCTGATATTCATGGAGCTTTATTCCGCTCAGATAGCTCTGGCCTCCTGCTGCCACATTTGCTGAAGGAAAAGATACCTGCTTGAAGCCTTACACACTACTGAAAAAAGCACAAAGCAGTGGTGGTATCTTGACTTTGAGTTTGAGGACCAAGAACCCTCAGAAACTGGCTTACTAAGCACTCGAAAGGCAACAATGCAATGGAGGTGCAGCTAACTGAGAGAATGGTGCCAGTATGCAAGTGTTATAGGTAATCAGCCAAATAAACATCCAAACCAGAACATATACAGACTATTAGCTCTGGAATCTAAATGTATGCTGTCTTTACAGTCTAATACACAAACACATCAAACACGTACCTTGGGCTTTGGTGGTGGGGTGCTTCTGTTTTTCTCGCTCTGGCCGCTGGTGGGCGAGAGTGTTCCGGTTGCCAGGTTGGCCTGAGGCACTGTGCTGTGTTTGGCCCCCGGAGACACCTGCATGGCAGCTAGCTGAGCTGCATACAACTGCTGCTCAGAGACAGAAAGAGATAGAGAAAGGGGACATAGAGAGGAGGGACAGAAGAGTGGATAAAGAAGAGAGAAAGGCCCATGAATAAATGAATACACTGAACACACAAACAAACAAACAAAAAAAAAAACAGGCTAAAAAGCTGGTTTGGCCATTAGTGGAGAGGGCTGATGGTTGTTTATGTGTGAGGGGACAGAGCTGTCACTTTATGTTCCACCATCTAGCCTCAAGGGGCTACGCTAACAGCTAGCAGACGCCTGAGTGAGACATGTCCTCGCCAAGGTGCATCCTGGGAAAAAAAACGCACTCACCATAAGGGTCATATTCACTAAGGAAAGAAAAGTCTACAAAAAAAAAAAAAAGCACCTCTCAAGGTGAAAAACTGGTGAATGTGTTTATGTAAAGAGTGAAGTTGTGAATTTCTCTGCCACTGGGAGTGGAAACAAACCCTGGACCCCCCACTGATTCTTTTACTCTTGTTTAAGAAGGCACACCAGGACAGAGGGACCCATGAGAAAATGCTCCTAAAACTCGAAAACATATCTGCCAGCATGACTCAAATTGTAGCATGCTGCCATTGGACAAAGTAAACAAAGATTTTTGTTTCTATTTTTGCTATTTAAAAAATATGAATAAGTGTCAGATTGATACTGTATGTGTACTGCCCCAATGTCTGATTATAGTAATTTCATCAGTACAAAAATACAGCATTGTTAATAGATAATGAATGCATTTTTTATGTTTTTTGTAACTTGTTTTACATTTTCAAAATGATCAATTGATTTGAAAAGCAATATAAGTTTATAAAAGCAGGAACTGAAAACTGATATATTTTAAGTTAAAATTTTTTTAACACTTACACATTATCAAAACAAAATGCCTTCTTTAAAAAAGTATCATGTACAACTATATTAGCTATTTAGATATTTGTAAGTGCATCATTCACCAAACAAGCCTTTATCAGTCAACCACAAGCAATAAAATATGCCAACTGTTAAAGGCAGAACCCTAACTCTAACAGGCAGACAGTACAGTTGCTGGATATCCTGTAAAATAGACTTGCGGAACTGTTTGTGCAATTCTTGCTGTAAGTGCATTTGTGTAGCTTTCATGTGCAATTTGTGGACTTTGAGGAAAGAAAAGAATGAAATGAGAGCGGGAGCTTTTTATTGTATTTGTGGGAACCGATGAGGAACCAAATCTGTGTTTACAGTAGCAGCAGAGACGGGCTGTTTTTTAAATTGTATTTTTCTCTTTAAGGTTTGGAAGCGAGTGGCTGTTTGTGAGTAAAACTTCCGTCCTTCTGTTCGTCTCTGGCTGCCAGCCACCAGCAGGAAACAAAGACTGGTTTATGCAAATGTCCATGGCAGTTCTTTCTCTCTCTCAACCTCGACAGCACATTCTCCACAATCTTCTGTCGGCTGTATCTGCTAGAATTAAATATTTCTATCAGATGAGAACACACAGAGATTAACACACCATCATGCTGAGAGACATATCTCAGCACAGAACATCTCTATCCACTCACACTGGCTTTTATCTGCCTAAATTTGCACTGCAGAGAGCTAATAAAGTTAATACGTACAGTTTTTTTTTTTAAAAAAGGGAATATTCTGAAGCTGCTGTATTAACTGTATTGAAAAAATAGGTGTTAACGCAGAGTGCACTTAGATTTTTGCTTGTATATAAGCCTATGACATAGGTTACACATTTTATTATGGCTAGGGCTGGACGACATGACAAAAATGTATATCATATATTTCTTAATTTCGGGTAATACGATATAATTCAGACAATATTAAAAAGCCAGGAAAAAAACTGCCAAGAATGCACACAATAGATGTCTGTACCTACAAATGTCTGCAAACTAAATTTGTATAATATAAATTTAGTTAAAAATATAATGGTTATTTTTTTTTTATTAAAACAATACAAAAAAATGTATGTTCACTTTTTATTTGTATTTAGTCTTTAAATCAAGTAAATAAAACTCTCAGACTCAGCTTATTAACAATATATTTCCATTTAAACTAGAACAGGCTGATTATTAATATACAGTAAACAACAAACAAAATCCTTTAGCCAGTATTAAGACAAAAATACGGCACTGCCTTAAATTGCTCCTCCACCCTGTCCCTAATTTCACCATAAAGTGCAGGTATAGCCGTGTGGGAAAAAATATTTTCGACTAGGGAGCTGAAATCAGGGGTTAATAACTAACATAATTTTCCTGAAGCCCACAACATCCACCATACTAAATGGTATCATGTCCTTAGCCAAGAAGTTTGTAACAGCCCTAGTAATGTCTTTATGACGTTCAGACTGCTTGTCGTAAGGTAGTTGTTCTGACACAGTTGGTTTTAGTGTCAGGGAGGGGGATAGTGGTGATGGTGAGGCGACAGGTTGGCTTTAACTTTTATGCCTCATCTTCTGACTCTCAGTATGTTCTATCGGGTGGAACTGCTTCAAATGATGGAACAGATTTGATGTAGTGGCACCACTCTCCGGCATATTTTGCAGAGCACCGAAACCTGAATTTTATAGGAACTTTATAAGCCAAACCACTTCCACACCACTGAATTAGCCTTTCCTCTGTTATCAACTATGTCGTCTGCATTCTTACTTGTGGAAGCTAGTTCATTCACATCTATTCAGGGCTCTCAATTTGTAGCTAAAACTTTCTGTGACAGAGCTTAACCAACTGCTGAGCGCTGGCAGCGTGTCTGTGATGTACATCATCGCGCAAGTTTCATCACGGTCCTGCTGACGGCAGTGTATATCGAAATATCTGAAATGGGTTTAAAAATCATATCACCATTATTGAAACAAAATCTACCGTGATATATATTGATATTAAATTATTGTCCAGCCCTAACTATGGCCAACCAATATGGTGGCCAGTATTAAATGATGTTGTTTTTAATATTTTTAACCAAACGTGTATGATAGGAAACCTCCCACTGAAACCATATGCTGTTTGATCTTATGGTTATGCTTAATAACGAAATGGTCATACTGGTTATATGGATATGCAGTACAATGCTTATTGAAACTAATCTTTCTGTCTGCTTCATTGCAGTGTTAGACTGTTAATTACTAATTTCAGCTCAAATCTTCTTTATGTGCTGCGTTTAGTCAGTCAGCTGGCCACTGTCTTTAAAAGAAACACAGATGAAGCAATTCTTCTGTTTTGATTCTGTAATCCGGTTGTGTACCAATTCATGGCACATCCATGCACACAGATTTCTGCAGGCTTTTTGATCAGGAGGTGACCTCACTGTGTGAGCTAGTCCACACAGGGGAGCAGGACATGAAATAAAGCTCTTGTTGGTCATTTCTGTTCAATTACTCCCACCATGGCCCCTGGTTGTGTGTGTGCCTGAGCGTGACATACGGCCCCTGTCGAAGCGTGCCTTGCCTCAGTGTGTGTGTGTGTTTGTGTGCGTGAGAGGGCGAGATGCTTTGTGTCCGGTCCACTGCATCAGAGTTCATTTTTTTTCTGAATCAAGTTCTATTACAGGGCCAGCTCTTGTCAGTCACAACTGCTAGACTGACACACACATACACTTCACTTCCAACAGTGGCTGCCACTGAACACGCTCAAAGCGCTGCCACCCTGCCATCAGCATGAGCAAACAGGAAGTGACAGCACAATGCCCCTCAAGTGCCCATGGGCTCACGTTTGCACACACAGCGAGAATGGGGGATGAAGGGGTGGCTGATCTCAAAAGTGGGGATGTAACAGAGGAATTTAAATGTCAGCCTTACACACAAAAAAAAAAAAAACACATACACAGAGGTGCTGAATGGGGGAGGGTGTATCTGTGAGGGATTTGATAGGACTCTTGACTCCTTCAGTCAAGCTGCGTCCTTTTAAACTCTTAAAGCTTCTCCTCTTGCTTCTCTCACTCTCTCTCTCTTTGCTAATCCCCACAGAGGAGTCTTAGGCCAGCTCTAATTCTTTAACCAGAACTCTGTGTGTGTGTTTAAAGGCAAGAAAGGTAAGAAAACACACATCGTCAACACGCACTAGAAAGATCCCAGAAGCAACGCCAGTCCGTAATGCTACACCTGATTTCAGGTCTGTTGTGTAGTGTGTCAAATGTGACTGCGGTAAGTAGTGTGTGTGCGTCTGTATGTGTGTATATGCATGGTGACGGGAGGAGATAGATTGGCATTTGCACTTTAACTCGTAAGGCTGATTGGAGAGTATTAGTGTTGGTGACACATGTTTTAACAAAGCCACCACCCCATCATCGCTAAGCCACCATACCCTCCCTGAATGCAGGAAGACGGGCTGCTGTCAGCACTATCCGTCGAAGTGGATCTGCGTGTCTTTATGTGACTGAGCAGACATCTCTCGCTCTCCAGTAATCCCCTGCTTTACTCAGATTATGAGCTTCTTTTCCCATCCTGCTTTGTTGTCAAAATGGAAGAAGTTCGGAGTGATCCTGTAAGCTATTGTCGTTTTGGTCTCTGCTGACTATTGTTAATTCTTCCTATTCTTGTTGTTAATTTTTGCGCTAAACCAAACATTGGCTGTCGAGTTGTGCCATTTTGATTACTGCGCCAGACGGGATGAACTTTGACATGAGTTGCATCTGACTGAAGCCGCTGCCAAGAAATCTCCCTCCCTAAGTGTCAATTAGTGTTTACAAAAAACACAAAAGCCAAATTAAAATCTATTGTGAGGTAGGATAATATTTCTCTTTTCTGCTTAATTATTTTTGGGATTGTCAAGGAAGACTCTTTTTAGGTTTGCGGTCTGCTTGTGGGAGTCAAAATAACATTCCCATTGTGTGATAAACTGAAAATGTTATGTGAGCTTTTAATGTTGAGCGGATAGGGTAAGCTGGACAGGATCAATCCAGCCATGCTATCTGTTAACAATGCCACTAACCTCTTTATTCTCAGACAATACCACCAGATCAATATCTGAAAGAAATTCACATGGCTTATCATCTTGCGCACACATGCCTCTCCAAGTGCCCGTCAGAAAAATAAATTGCTGGTGGTTTGGACTACAAGTGGAAATACATGTACCATTTCTTACAACTGATAAAAGGCATTAAATACAGTCTCCCTCTCACTTTCTCTCTCTGTCTCTCTTGTTCTCCTGTGTGCTGCAGTAATCCAGTGCAATATGGTCCAACATCTGCCTCTACATATGATGGCTGACCTCCTCCATTGACCCACTTTATACCTCTTCAGTACTGCTGCTCACAGCTTGTATCTTTCCATTCCTCCTATCCTTTTCTCATCTCTCACTCTTTTTCTCTTTCTCTCCATTCACCCATTTAAAACACAGTCCCTATTCTTGCATTTCAAAACTCTTCTTCTGCCTTTATGTGTGTGGTTTTGGGGGGTTAGGCAGGTTAATTTAGCAGGTTATGGCAAATTAGGCCAGTGTGAACTGTGGCCACAGTTGTGAAAAGTGGTTTTGTGGCCAGGTTTAAAGACCACTGCAGTGACAAATGGCAAACACCTTTAAGATAGTGACCCCTTGTGCAATAGCTCTGCCTCACACACTCACTCTTAGAAGTCTTAATGGCTGTTGTGTAGGTGAGCAGTTACAAACAGCTGTGACTTCAGCTATATGACATCTTCAGCTATGTGTTGAAACATAAGATGAGAGGATTTGTACAAAATGAATGTGTCATAACACTTTGTGTGGACAAACTTCACAGGACATGAGCGAGAAATTAAAATGCAATATATTTACATATATAACTATACCTTTTAAGCATCCAAATGCAGTATGCCTATGCACCAAATGCCTCATGGGCTCTGTTCTGTGATACTTCTGGTCTATTGTGTGTCAAAATATATTTTGTCCCAAATATGAATTACAGAAACAAATAATTGTGAAATAAAAATTATTACATTGAAATGATGTTTGTTTTATATTCAAAATGATTATGGCTTTATAATTTTATAGTGCTCTGAGTAGAGGAGAACGTGCCAAGCCAGGTTTGTAGCCAGATTAAGTGCAAACCCCTAAACCATGGGTCGTCGAGTGACCAAGGCAAATATTTTGTGCCTCTCATTCTATTGGGGGGTGTGAAGATGAGATGTGCAGATGCACAGATTGTCCCAGAGGAAATCCAACATGCTTCTGTTTGAGACATCTGTATTTAGCTTAGCCTTAGTAAATAATTTTCTTTGTCACAAAGCCCTAATCTCTCTCTCCCTCTGTGTGTTTGTTACAAGGGAGATTTGAGGATGAAATGAGAGAACAGTGGCATTGGATGTTGTTGTTGTTACTTTTTGCCAGTTGTTATTCTAGCAAAATCCAATTGCGTCTGACAAAGCTGTTCAATCTGGGATTTTTTTGAATCTTAACATGAAGTAACATATGGAGACAAGCTCTGAAGCAGATAAAATCAGACAGGACAAGATTTCTCACAGTAAGCCAGTCATACGCAGCACAGCAGGGTGAGTGCACAGACAGTAAGGGTTTAAAAAAAAAACAATCCTGTTTTATTATCCGTTATCCAAAGGGCACCTGGGAATACCACCTGTTTCTATGTGAGCATGTATGTGTGAGAGCCATTTATACCTCTGGCATATGCTTAATCTGTTATACAGCTGTGCAGGTGTGTATATACCTTTGCACATGTATACGCAAGTACAGTTCCCTGTTAAATTCACTCTATAATGTGTATTTTTTTTTTGGCTAATGGTGGCAGAGTGAGTATGGCCTCTTAGCCAAGATATTTAATGCTAAAGGGAGGTAACAGAGAGGAAGACATGGTCTAAGCCCCATTTGTACCTTAGGTTAACCTGATGATAAAGGAACTCCGAGTTAGCTTGTCCATACTGGGCCAGTGAGCCTGTAAACAATATTCAGAGTGGTTTAGCAGATGTATACATTTTGTCATTTTCATCTATGCGACTTCTGCTATACCAGCAGAGCTAACAAGCTCTTCACCCCTCTCCTTCTCCCAGAGACCAAACTAGAGAGGAGAAAAAAGGGCATATATGTGGAGATGCATGTTTACTGTGTTTTTGGCTTAAGAGAAGCACAGTGAGGCTGCAATAGGGGTTGACTCTATTCAGGCAGCTCATAATATCTTTTTGTGTTTGCTCTCTGTTCAGTGTCCCTCTGTGCTCTGTCCCCCTTAAAAACAGTTTCTATGGTACCCTTCGCTCCACAGTGAACAATATTAGCACCCCGGAGCCAGCAGTGCGGCATTCTCTCTCTGGGCTCTGGCCTCTCACAAAGGCCCATTTCTATGGCAACTTGCAGTTGGCATGAGGAAAAGGGTTGGGAAGAACAGTGGGCATTGTTGTTGTTCTCTATCGGAATCACAAAACAAAAAAGGGGGGAAAAAAAACGAAAAAACGGGAGAAAAAAGATTTTGTTTGAGTGGTTGGGAAAAAATTCACATGATCACCACAGTAAAGGGACACACACAGGAACACAGAGGAAAAAAAGCACACAAGATGGACATTACCTGCAGCTGAAGAGGACCAAGGCCAGGTGTTGCCGCAGCAGCGGCCGCCATAGTCGTAGGGATTAACTGTAGAGGGTAAGGTTCACCTGAGGAAGAGAGCATTATAGGTATGTCAGAATCTTAAGATTTTTTTTTCACACCTCACCCATCACTTTCATCTCCCTACACTTCTGCCCAGGGTCTGGGCCCCATCCCCCTCGTCTCTCCTTCGATGGAGCAACAGATTCACTGCTTTCTCTACTGTCGGTAAAGACCTCCATTGTGAAGTCCCCCCTTCATTCTAATGAAAGGCTGATTGTGTGGCTGCAGCACTAATACCCCGAGCACAATAGCAGTTGAAGGCTAAGGCATGATAAGGAGAGGACGGTAATTAACGAGGTAACGTCAGCGCCCCATCTCCCCGGGCCCCGCACAAGAGCCTCTGCATTGGAGAGATGAATCAGAACATGACGAGTGAATAGCGTGAGTTATTAGCGTCCACCTGCAGATATGGGCTTTATAATTACATGACCGGGAGGTAAAGGTCAGTCCAGTTTGGCTAGAGAAGCTGGGGGAGGGGTTATCAGCATCACATTGAAAGGGCCTGTGACATGAGAAACCATAAGTGTGCCCTAATATATCTGTTCAGCAGTCTTTTTGAGTTCAGACCATGATGAACAACGGAATGATGCTGGTTGAGTGGGAAGAGATATTGGATACCAGAGTTCTTTGGAAGAAAATAGGAGAGAAGACACATATTTGCTCGATGTCCAGATAGGACAGGTTTTTCTTCGACATTGACATAATGAATCTGTTATTTTAAAAGAATCAGCAACTTTTGCTGTGTCTCTCTGGCCAGATTGTAAAGTAAATATAGCACTTATTATTTGTATTATTAATTGCTTTAATGCATAGGCAACTAAAATTGAACTGTAAATTATTTGAATGTTATTGTATTTGGATATTATTTTGGATATAGTCAGCGACTTTAAAAACATCCATACAAGGGGTTTAAGGAGGAAGTCAGACCTTGTCTCAGTAAGCAATAAACCAGACGCTGCTATCAGATGGCCCAAAACTTTTTCCCATATACTGCTTCCCTTCCCCCTCCAAAAATACTCATCCGCTAGGTTAAAGATTGCCCTGGACCCAGTTCAAGGATTTATTCTGGTTAGATGTGTATGTTTTGTCTTTTTTCTTGTCATTCTCTCAGTCTATAAACAAACACAAATATTCCAGCTATTTTATGTCTCTCCCGGGTACAGCTGTAACAAAAGAGCAAAACTAAAGCAAAGCAAACATGTTGCTATTGGCGAGAAGGCAGCATCTTCAGACTGACTGGAAGAGATCCGTGGCCTGGCTCCGGGGAGCAATGGGTGGGAACCAGTGTCCCCTTAGTACAGACCCTGCGACCAGAGGGATTTTATCCCTCTTTTTTTCCGCTCTGGTTTTGAGGGTTCAAATGACAGCTTCCTCCCTCGTGAGTAGGCACTGTAATCGTAACTAAATGACATGCGTAATTGAAATATTGGGCAGGGTTTGATGGTGCTTCTGGCTGTAATTGAAATAGAGGGTGTATGGCTGATAAGGAGGGGGGCCATTGGGAGGAGGAAGAGGGTGGGGGGACTTGTTTGGGAAACTGTGAAGCTCAGTGGGCGGAGCTGGAGATGCGGACCGATCAGTCTCACAAGGGAGATGTACGTTTATGTGTGTGTATATGTGTGTGATCTATGCAATGTGTGTGTGCCTGCATACAGTTGGATTGGAGTTGGAGGCGTGTGCGAGGCGTATTGGACGCGTGTTCTGGCGGCCGCCCGTGTTAATATGAAGAAACCTGGGGCAGGTCACTCTACCCCCCCGTGAGAGCGCGAGCGTTCTGCTGCTGCGCTGCTGGCACTTGCCGCCTCGTTTCTCGCGGTAAACAACACATTGCTTCACAGTTGGACTGCTACGGCCAAAAACACAAACCCCAGAGGAAGTTTTCTTTTTTTTTTTTTTTCCTGTTCCTACTTTTGAACAAGAAATACACAGACACAAAAGCAAGCGAGTTTGTCTAGTCTCAGAGTCTGTCATGTGCGTGAGATGACGGGCATCGGTGCTGTTGGCTGATCTTAATAACACACCAGACAGGAGGGAGATGCTGCCCAACATTGGGTTGAAGACTCCGCTTTCAGCAATCTGGTTTAAAATCTCTAGTGTGAACAATAAACTGAACTAAAGTCTTTCATTTTACTAAAAGGATGCTTTAATACTTACTGCATCCCGGTTTGTAGTTAAATCCAGGAGGAAGTAGAAATCCTTGTTGTGCTGCAGCGGCTGCCAGAGTTCTCTGATCTGGAGGGAACACTGGAATCATCAGCGGAGGCAACTGACCCTGGACCTGCTGAAGAGATGGAAAGACAACAATTAGCATAATAGTCAAAAAAAATCTAATAAACAATATAAACAATGTTAGCCATAAAAGAGAAGAAGTCTGATCAACCAAAGTCCTAGTATCACCTTCTGACAGCACAGTTTAACCAGTAACCACCTGATGCTCTATATAAAGTTGGTCACAATCTGTTAAAAGTTTTTTTAGCTAAAGGGTTGAACAGACACTGAAAGAGCAATAGTTGGCCGCTTTACATGTTGATTAGACTTCCTGATGAAATGTTTTCTCTAGCTGACCATACTTTATGTCTGGCTACATTATGCCCCTCATTAGCTAGTATATTCTTTGGACAAGTTTAAACACTGCTTGTACAGTAACTGTCACCCAAGAACAAGTTAGGTATGGATAGGTGGCTCTTGGGATAGTTGGTCCCCTTGATTATTGCCATGTGAAGGAGCTTCTTCACACTCTGGCAACAGCTGGCCTCCATCTCTGCAGAGCACCATGCTCGGCACCTCGCCACACCACTTCACAAGGTTTTCAGGATTTAAAAAAGGGAGGAAAGATGGGGAAAAACACAAGCCAGAGACTTTGGCAAAGGGAGAGGCTTGAGACACACAGGCCCAAAGAAGAAGAGGACAGATGGTTCTACTGACAAGGAAAAACAAAAACTACAAAAGTGACAATACTGCATATAGGCAAGTGACATTCTCTAAGAGGAGAGGAAGCCCTTGATCACAGCAGTTACATGTTAAGATGAAAGTCTAAAAAGTTCTTTTTTTACTCTTCTATCTCTTTAGTCTCAGTAGCATGTCTGAGGTTTTCTGAATGACAACCACAGAGCAATCATTCCTTCATTTTGGTTAACCACAAATCGCAGGCCTCCTGTTCCCAGATCAGGAGGCGGTGGAGTTTTATTGTTGCATTTCGACATGAGCCCCCCCATGGACTAGTTGAGCTCTAGCTTCTAGTCCTAATTGCATATATGCTCCTCTGGTACTGCCTTCATCACCTCATTGTGTGCTAAGAGACTGTGGTCACAATAGCCAACACGCACGTGTGTTTGTGTTCTCCAGTGGTTTTGAGCATGGAGGTTTTTTTTGGCAAAATTTTAAGCACACGCTCTTCCCTTAAATGCATAGATGTGCAAGCAAGTGTGTGTGGGTGCATATGGAATTAGAGGCTCGTGGATCTCCTCAAAGCATTTGAAACACTGTCATGCTGTTCTCTATTCAATCAACGTAGCAAATGGCATTACCCACGCAGAGTAGGTGAGGCTGATATTGAAATTTTCAGACTAGTTAATGCAGATTGATGCATCCAGTTGACATGTATCATTATTTAGAGAACAATAGGACTAAACTTTATAGTCACTTTCAAAAATGATGTAAATTATGGGTCATGAATGATTAGCAATACTTGCAGAGCATCTCTCACATTGGCTGAAGCCATGATCACATGGTTTGTTTAAAAATACAGGAATTTGACATAAAGGACTTAAAGTCAGGGATAATTATTTTCAACTAGAATTTTGCCTCAACTGTTGGGATACATGAGTTATTGTTTAACCAAGGGTTAGGGAAAACACTACAAGGTGTTTCACACATTAAATAGTTAACCACAGCTCATTTTAAATCCAAGGTAAATATAATGCTGGGTTAAATTATTTCATAATGCTTCACCCAAGGGTGTACAATAATCCTGGGTTTTAATAAAGTGCTGTTTGTCAATGTATATTCATACATTTTTGGTTAATGTTCATATTTAGATATTTGCATGACTAGTGGCAGGTTTTAGGATGACAATAACCCTAGGTTAAGTGCTTTTTGTTTTGGTTATAACTTTAGAATATTCCTAAATGCTTACAACAAAAGTGTCAACTCCAGCTGCCAGGTCTATAAAGCTCTATTAATCAGCCAACAGCTGGATGTGAGATTCCATACTTGCTCTTTGAATTCTCTGGTCAAAAGAATGGCTTACTTGAAAAGCTTTTAAGTGCAGAGGAGTTTGTCAGGTGATTGAGTCTAAACAGATTTTAGTATTTACATCTAAGAACAAAAAGATAGCGCTGGTTGCAAGTTACAATCGTTGTCTTTAAAATACCTCTATTTAGCCTTAAGAAAAATAGATAGTGGAAGAGAAATAAACGCATGTAATAGGTGACAAAACAGCATGACAAACTTTATTAATTTCGCAGTTAATATGAACATAGTATGAAACGAAAGTGAAAGAGAGGAAGAAAAAAAATGTTGAAAGAAATAAACAGAAAGGGGAAAAGTAGAAAGTTGGCACCAAACTGAGTCAGAGTCTCTCGCCAGGCGGCACAGCTTGAACCTAAAGCTTTTTGAACATAATGAAGATGTGCAGATAATTAACATATGCAGTGTGAACAGGTTTGCTGGCACAGAGGAGAGAAAAACTCTAAGGTAGAGCTATTATTAGGGAGTAATTTGCTCTAAGAAGTAAATGAGTGAAACAATAGCTGCCAGCATTGACAATATGGCTCACATCTGAGAATGCGCGCAAGAACGGTGGTTAAAAAACGAGTCTCGCTGCTAAAATCTGTTTCAAGCCATATGCTCCGGCAATTAAAGGCGGGCCTCAGTGACCTCGCGCTGAAGAGGGGACACATAGCCATATAACTAATAATTAATTTGTGCCTGGATAGCAGCGTTAGCACACTCACACTATACTTGCAGACTGTCACTTAATATTAGCCTCGTGGATGTAGGCATAGGCCATTAACTTTTACAGTGTGGCTGTGATGACTGCCGTTCTGCTGGAGGAGTCAGTGCGAAAGGACTCTCTCTGGTGGATACAATTGAGATCAAATGCATGAACAGTCAGCCTTTGCATATAAATTCCTATCTCTCTTTATTAAGTATCTACACCTGGTTAAACATGGACAAGTAAAATAGAAACCTGTCAAAGTTGCCCTCTTTGCACAAAAGTTGTTAATTCACAATTGTGTGTGTTAGAACAGTGTCTGTGTTTACAGCATTAGGTATTGAAACCTGCAAGTACTAAAGTTCTTATATATAAAATCTAATAAATATACATTTGTTACATATTATATATGCTATTATATAGGTTTTATTAATATTTATTCCCATGATCATTTGCATCCAAAGCAGAGCTCGCTTTAGGATTATACTAGCTAATCTCATCTCTTCCTGTTAGTTTGTCTTTTCACATTGTCTTCATACAAACACCACAGAAAAAAAAGTCAGAACATGACTGTTGCACATTGCTGGGGGTAAAAGGGGTGCAGATTTTAAAGTCTAGACCAGTTCAGTTGCTTTGAGGTCACATGACTTCAACCCTAATGTCTGATCTCTTCTCCATGCCTGATCGCAGCATCCAGACAAATATGGCATTTCGAGATCACACCAAAACAACAGCCCAGCTTTTTCAAATAGCTAACGCATGTCCATTTTCTCACTCATGGCCTTCGTTCTTTTTTTCCAAGTATGCCTCTCATTTTTTTCCAGTGAACGGTCCTTTTCCGTGAGCCAAGGGCACCTTTGGCTGATTAGCAGCTAATGAAATTGAGTGGCGAGCCTGTGTCTGCACAGCCAGCCTTTTATTAGGCCCCCATTAGGTGTGAGTGCAGGAGGTGCGTCAGCCGCCCGCTGTAGGTGGGCATAACGCAGCGCCCATCTGCTCCTCTGCCTGTGTGTCCTTCCTCAAATAGCTCCCATTAGCTGCCAACCACCGGGCTGAGAGAAGCCTTCCCCACACTCTCAAACACATGAAGACACGCATATATGGGTATACAACAGGCTGTTATATGCTGCTCAAGGCCAGTCACTTAAGTAAAACACAGTTGTCCTGTGGTTGGAAAGGAGGTAGAGGTGGACATGGAAATGTATAACATTTTGGATATTTTAAATTCCCTGATTTTGGCTTCCTTGTTGAGTATGTAACACTTCTGTCTGCTTTTTTCCTTCATCGTTCTTTGTTTTGGTGATTTTCTTGTTGATCCTATGGCAAACCTTTACTTAGAGGACCTGAGCATGTTAGATATGTCTATCTGGTAGATTATCATTCTGTCTCACCCCCTAGCTGTTTTCTTTCAAGGAAAACTGAACACATAAAATCAGAAAAAGACCACACATATTCCTTATTTTCTGTCAACTGCAAATCTTTTGGAGCTATGCAGGGCTATCATTTCCTAAATTTTATCTGTCTAATTAAGTTGAATCATCTGGTTTAAAGCTTTTACAAAACCAACTTCAAGTTATTTTTTAGGTTGATTATCCTGAAATTGTTCAAACCGAAGGTGCAATCAAATATTTTTATAAACAGATTATAATATCAATTAGGCAGAAAATAATAAGTTGAAAACTGTCAAATGCTGCCTGGAATAGTGCTCACATAAATTGGGAACATGTGTTGGGAAACCCCCTGCCTCACTGTCCCTACCATCATCCCCGGTGCTGCACAAAGCCCAGTTCACACAACCAGTGCAGCCACTTCATGCAGGAAAAACACCAATTACATTCATTTAGGTGTAATGAGACAAATTAAACAATTACACACCCAATTGGGTTAGCCGCTCCTGTGCACAGGACCTGGTCTAACGCTTCTGTTGTCTTTTTTCTCCTCAACCTTCTTTTTAACTCTCATTCCGTGGGAAAATGGATTTACAATCTCAAGGAGGCACTGGCACTCGGCAAATGAGTATGATTGAGTTAGGAAGTGATCATGCAGTGTTTGACATGTATAGGCTACCGCAGTGGAAGTTCTTTATTTGGTTAGCTTTCCTGAAATGGAGGTTGACTCTAATACATGTTTTACAAGCAGTCACCGGTTTGTGTCGGCATCGTGTCTTAAACTAGTTAGAAAGCTTTAAAAAAAAAAGTGACAGCCGTGCTTGTTTTGTTTGGTGTGGCTTATGCCATTGTGCTAAATGGCCATAGTTATACATCAAATTAGCCCGCAAAAACATCTCCTCATGGGAGGTCTGGCTACCCGCGGTAACTGACACTTTGACAGCAGAGAATCCTCATCTCGGCCCCTGCGCTACGTATTGGAAATTTTCTAACACCAGCGCGAAGTCCCGCAGAGCCGGAGGAGGTGTGCTGAAAGGAGGCTGCTAATGAGAGAAAAGTGAAGGGGGAAAATGTTGGGAGTACGGCGAAGCTCAGAATGAGGTTGTACCAGTGGGCAGCTCACAGCCATTGCACCCACAGGTTTTTTTTCAACATTACACCTGTCGTTAAGCATGGAAATGCATTATATGTATTGCATTTCATGCCTCATGCTTCTGCGTGTGTGCCGCAAGCTTCTCGGCAGGTGTATTCTTTCATCCAAAGAAGCCTGTGTTTCTGGTTGGATAACAGTCAGGAGTCCTGTTAAGGCCCCGTGAGGGGTCCTGAGAGAAGACGCTTTAATAAGAAGCAAAGAGTGTGTAGATGTTACCCCCAAGAGCCTAAAGAAGTGGCCCCACACTGAGAGGTATATATGTGTTAACTGTGTGCATATTTCTGCAGAGAAGTAACTCTTCAAGGAGTTTTCAATGCGCCACAGGAGCAAAATTCCATTGAAACTCAAAAGTCAACATAAAACAGCACTCCATTTGACTTATTTAATGTGATGCGTATCTGTGTGAACCAATTTTGATGAGGGTAAGAGATGGCAAAAAGGTAATGTCATACAATAAATATATAAAAATAAGGCCGGGAACAATAGTTTAAATATTTTCTTTAAACATGGAATTTGGATATTGACCTTAGTAATGTGTTGTAAAACTCCAGAGTTCAGACATGAAGCAAGTGTTTGGTCAGAGTATGTTAGCGGTCTGTATGCTACACAATTTAAATGCGTGATTTAAGGAGGTGATTTTGGGCTAATACATGATTGGCCCATAACAAGGGTCTCCCCCTCTCTCCCCCCTCCACTGCCTCCGCGTTGACTGTGAGAAACTATTGTTCCACTGGGCTGAATGGAGAAGTGCTTGTTTGGGAAAAGGTTGCAAAGTCATGGGAAAAAGAAGCTTTGTTTCTCTGAGTGAAGAGTGGGGCTAGAAAAACCCAAGCGGACGTGTTTTGGGGACTGACGCACACACAGCTGCTTCTGACACATATACAGACATGAGCTGGTGAGGATTTTGAAATAGACACAGATAATTCTCGCATACACATGTTCAGACTAAGCTGTATAGTATGAACATGCACACACGAGCAACCACAGCTGCTACACACACACACACACACACACACAGCCAGGCACTAAAAAGAATGGCAGGGGTCCAGCGGACGGGACTGATCTGTGTATGCGTGTGTGAATAGTCTCAGTGTGATGTGGCTTCCTGGCCAAAACTGCCGGAGTCCCTCTCAAGGCTAAGTCTCATTTTATCAACCAAATTAGACTCATCTCATTTCCTTTTGCACACAAAGACTTTATTCGCTTCACACCTGCACACACAAAGCAGGCCAGTGTTTCTCTGCCCCATGTATAAGTCAGCTGGGACAAACCCATCAAAAAAGTGTCTGTGTTCAGTTTTCCACAAGCTCCCTTACCAGCCAGCAGGACTTTACCCATGTGTTCTTTTACGCAAACTATTCATTGAAATATAGCAAGTAGCTGTAGTGTTTTCTGTTTTCTTTCACAGACCTATCGTTTTATCATTATCATCAGAAGACACTGGTGTTCATTTAATTTTGCCTGTTGAATTTCAAAGTGACAGTAGCCATTGATTTACATTTTAAGAATCACCTTTATCCTGGATGCCCTGAGCTGCAGTAAACTCAGTCATTTTTCTAATCTTTAAATATCTTCCACTGAGCTGTCATAATGTGTTCAGGATTGTCTTGAAATTGGATGTACAGTAATTCAGAGGACAGCTTTGTGATTCTTTGTTTTGTGTAGTTATATTTTGATTGTTTCACAAAAAGGACTACAAGAATGGACACTAAATATAAGCTCCACTCTTACATTTGTGATTTGATGAGGGGGGTTGATTGCTGACTGGCAGACTGAAATGTTTGATTGTCATGAAACCCCACAGTCATGGTGACAAGACTCTCACATTGTGACATCTTATAAACATTTGCGTTCAAAAGCATAAGTGCAAACAAGTATACAGTCCTAATACTGGACATGCACATACTGTATATATATGAAGACTCACCTGGATCTGTTGCTGCAGGAGGTTGATTTTGTGTTGTTGCTGCAGAAGTTGCTGCTGTTGTCGTGCAATCTGTGGACAGAACATGTCAAACTGTCAAACATGTCAAACTCTTCTCCAATAATAGAGAACATTATTTGTGTAGATAGAGATTGGGATGAGTGAATTGTTGATGGTGCACTGTTTGAAACTCTTGGGTGTGTTTTTGTATTTTAGACATATTTGCTAAGGAGTGGCGCCTAGTCCTGGAGCGTTGTGCGCTTGTGCATGTTTATGTGTATGTGTACAGGGGTGTGTAAGTAAATGTGTTAATACAGATCTGTTTTCTTTTGTAAAACTAAGCTCCCCAGAAGCAACTATGCACACAACAAAGCCCAAGCACTCTCTTCTGTATGCAAACACCTTTAGTCTCCTGCTTGTGTGCTGGAGGGGACCTAAATGTTTCTCATACACTTACAAGCGGGATGGAGAGAACAGAAGGTTTCTTTATGAATTTGGTTCAAAGTGGAGAATCTTACAAACTGTACCTTTCATAAATATATGCAAACACACAGGTTTCCTAGACGTAATGATTTTTAGACTGTACAGATTGTTTGGTTTGTCATTCCCTTAAACATTCTACAGATTTACATTTTCATAATGATTAATTCTGGTTTATTTATGAGCCATTCTCTTCATGGGGACCAAAAGAGGAAAATTAAAATAATAATAATAATGTTTAAGGTCCCCGTAATGTTTTAAATACCAGCATTACATGCACAGACAACTTTGGTATGTGTTCTGTAATCTGACATACCACAGGGGTCAATTTTAAAAATGTCTGCTACTTTTAAGACAAGTTTCAGATCAATTTTCTTTCTGTTCTTTTAGCAGTAAAATGCATTGCTAAGTGGCATACTTACAGAACACGTACTTACATACCTATCAGAAAACAATTGTTGGTAATAATTTTTGACCATTGAGACTACATTACTCACCAAGCCTTGTGTTTTATTGCATTGTGCTTGGTTAATGCCTATATTGCATATTTACAATCAGCCTACATTGCCCTCTGGTCATTGTTATTTGGCTTCATTTGAAAAAGTTTGGATAAAACTGAATATAACTAGTGAGACATGCGCATGACGAACATTGTAAATATTTGCTGACCTGGTCCTGTTGCTGTTTTGCTAACTCCATTTGCTGGCGTTGTTTTTCAATCTGTGAAGCAGCCAGTTTCTTCTGCTCCTCGTGGGCAGCCAGTAACTGCTCTCGGAGACTGCTGAGCTGCGTGATCATCCCCATCAACTGCCGCTCTTTCTCCGCCAGACTGTCCGGGGTGCCTGCAAGGGTTAAAGGACACAGGCCACAGGTCAAAGAGCTAGTCCAGGAAGCATTGTGCCCAGATGTGCTCCTCCCGAGATGTGCTATCACCCTGATGTTTACCTAGCCTTCGCTACACATTTAGCATGAGCTGACCTCCGACCTCGAACTAAAGCTGAGAACGCTCTGACATACGAGCAGCCCCAGAGCAGACGGCAGGAGGGGAAGACTAAATCACTCAACAGGATGTAGTCGCACTGCGGTATTACCCCAGACTACCACCAATCAAAAATTGTGTGTGTGTTTGAGTGCACTAAACCCCTAAAGCGTTCAAATGTCCAAATGAGCACGTCTGTTAATGAGTTCATGTGTGTGCAATTGTGTGTCTGAGGTCATATATCTGTGCTAAAACACACACACACAGACACACGTCTGCAGGCCCCACAATCACCCATTGTTCTCGGTCTCTACCTTCTGAGGGGCCACATTCCACACCAGGGAAAAACAGATGATGAAGAAAGCTAGAGAAAGAAGGGAGTCATAGCAGCTGACCTGACCCTTTGCCCTGGCAGGAAGGTGAGAGTAGGCTCCATTTGTAACCCCTTCACAAACACACACACACAGACTCAACAATGCACAATAAAGGCAACTGTCACAGTTGGCCAGTTGGAAAAATAAACCTGCAGCTCCCTTTAACAGCTCCCAGACTGGGCTTTCACAAGAGGGTGTGCATGTGAGCCGGCCTGGGACAAGGGAAGGCCTTGTGTGAAAAGTGACGAGTCTTCCAGAGAAAGGAGGCATCAAAGCGATCTTTCTTTCCTGCTTTCTTTTTGAGACCCTGTTGCTCATACTAGGACTGGATCTGAATGGTTAAAATAGACATTTTTATAGCTATATTGAAGTATTTTAATTTATATATTTAATATATTTTTTAATTTCTTTTAACTTGATGCTTTGAAGGTGGTTCACTTAGATATTAACACCAAAAACATCATGCAAATAATTAGTCTTGTTAATTCTTGTTAGGGCTAACAGAAAAAAAAAAGATTTTCATTGTTGTCAACCTTAGATAGAACACATTAATAATAATTTAAAATCCTTACATTTATATAGCACTTTTCTGGACACTCAAAGAACTTTACACATTTTTTGAAGGGAATCTCCTCATCCATCACCAGTGTGCAGCATCCACCTGGATGACGCGATGGCAGCCAGATCGCACACCACTTGGCGATTGGCGAAGAGTGATATGGGGATGGTTAGGAGGCCATAATGGACAGTGGGAAAATTCTCTGATTCTCTTCTCGATCTCATCCGAAATACTGGGGCGTGAGGACCCACACAGACTGCAGGTTGAGCACCCCCTGCTGGTTTTACTAATGTCACTTCCGGCAGCAATCTAGCTTTTTCATGTGGCTTTCCTTTATATCCAAATACTGATCGTGCTGACCGTCTGCCCAGGTACTGACCCTGCTTAGCTTCAGTGGGCAACTATGTGAGAGTCGGCTAGTTACACATGAACATATTATACATTCAAATAGTGTCGTGACCCCTGTGCTTGGTCCAGATTTTTTTTACCACATGGGTGAACCCTAAAGAATCCATTGAGAATGCGTCTTAGCATTGTTAGTAGACATGCTCCTAAAACAACTAGTCAGACAAACTACCAACTAGATTCAATAAGATGCTTTGTGCATGCCAAACTCAGTAAGACTCTCAGCAAGATTCACTTACTAAACCGAACCTTTGACATAATATACTCTGGATGCACTAAGACTAGGGTTGACAGAAGGTGTTTATACACACACATAAGAAAACAGACCAGCCTCATCAATCACAACCGAAGGCTTTTTACCTCGGCTACTGAAAGTTCAGCTTTGGATCAATAAGTGGTTTCCTCTCTCTCTAAACATCCTAGGGCTGCCTTTACTGCCTTGCCTCATGTCACAAACCACAGTAATTAACCAATTTGTAACAATGTAATACCTGTCAAGCAGCTCTCACTGCTAATTAATGACTGGGCTTAAAAGATAAATCCCTAAAGCAGCACAGTGCTGTGTTACATGAGGGAGAGGAGGAGAGAAAGAGCTTAGCCCGAGGCTCTTATTGTCCATTACCACTATTCATTCCATGTTTCTTCTCTCTTTCAATCTTTTTCGTTCTGTAATCATCTCTTGTGTGGATAATGTAGGCTGTTGATTACTGTATACTACTTTTAGTTGACTTTTTAAAGTACAGTTCTCTATTAAATTAATAGATCTCGTCTTTAATGTCTGTCAGTACAGTGCTTCAGTATTGCAAACATATATATGTTCGTATTACCGTATCAGGGAGTAATAAAAAAGCAATAGCATTTTATGAACATTAGAACTTCACTAACTGGAGTGACACTTATCTTCATTTGTAATGCTGACAATGACACATCCTTCGACCAAATCACAATCCCAAAGACATGTTGGAATATTTAATTAACAAATTGATCCCACAGCCTTGAAATTTGTTCCTGATTGGCTATAATGTGCAGACTTTTATTTGTTTGCTATCAGCACTTTATATTTTAAAAACCTTGTTTACTTTACATAATTTAAAATGACATGCTTAGACACTTTTGTGTGCCTGCTCTTATCTTAAAGGGTACACACACAGAGAGCGAGAGAGAGAGAGAGAGAGAGGACAGTGTAGGGAAGGCCCTCTGCAACCACTAGTCATTGGTGGTCGTGGCAGGGATGCTCTCTTGCTGAAATGTCATCACAGTGGGGTTACCGCACCGACAGCTTGATCAATGGCGTTCCCTTTTGTGCTCCAGGAGTGTGAACAAGCTTCATTTGATTAAATATTTCTGAGCCACTTAATGAAGTACATTTACTCCCGAGTTAGCCTCATGAACACGCTGCAAGAGCAAGGAAGGTGTATGGAGGCTTGTTAAAGTGACAGTGGAGAGTGTTATCGCTACAGCTGAGTGACCTAACAGGATGTATCATTAACCGTGCTAACATGAGCGAGGCTGTTGCTTAGCAAGTCACCCCAGCAGATCATTAACTGGGGCAGACGAAGAGGGTAGCACTACGTGGATTTGCATAACTGAGCTCTCTTCTACATTTTATACATAAAGTTAAAACTATGATCATACTGTAGGTTAAACTTGAAACACAAACCAAAAAAAGCAGCCCTTCTGACCAATTTGTTGATTGAAACGGTATGATTGCTTCTGTTTTGTACCGCTAAAAAGATAAGCAACAGATATATCAATGGCAGAACACAAACATGCATAAGCTCAGAGGTCACATGAAAAAGTTTTTGCTTTACCTTTGATCTCTCCAAAGTTGCCAGAACCCATGGCCAATAGCTTGTCCTTCCAGTCCTTAGACAACAGCCTCTCAATACTGGGGGCCTCTGGAGGGGAGAGAGAGAGAGAGAGAGAGAAAGAGAGAGAATTACCACAGGCAGGCAACATCACAATATAGCTCATTTAAAGTCCATTTGCTGTAATAAAGGCCCGTCTCTCTAATGGCACCAACAGTAGGGCAGGAGGAAGAGAGGATGGAGAGAGAAGGAGAGAGAAAGACAGAGAGAGAGAGAGAGTTGAGCGGCTTCCTCACCTGCTGTTAGCCAATCATTAGCCCTATGCTCCAGCTAACACAAAGAGGCTCTTAATGCACCGGGTACAATGGACACATTATCGAGGCTGTGCGCTTTGTTTTTCTAATACACCCCGCAGACCCGCTAACCCCTCCACCCCACACGCTAATTACTAACCTGCCAAGGACGGACGTCTCAAACCAGAGAGAGAGAGAGGAAAATTACAACAACTCTCAACACCCCCCCTGTATTCCTCTTTAATACACACACACACAAACACACTGGTACCTGCATCACCATCACAACAATTAACTGTGATATGAAACAAAACGAGAGGAAGAGAGAGACACAAAGAGAAATACAAGGTGTGTGTTTGTGGTAAATGACAGCAGTCGGTATTTTAGTGGCCTGGGAAACCACACACACACACACACACACACACACACACACACACACACACACACACACACACACACACACACACACACACACACACACTCACAAACTGTGTTCAGTTGTGATTTCCTTTTCCTTTATGTTTCATTTTTATCCTTTTTGTCATTTAACATCCTGTTGCTCAAATAGTAAAACATGACGCTTGCAAAGATACGTTCATGGGCTCCTTTCCACATTCATTTATGATAAACTACCTTCTTCATATCTTCATATCTTAATAGTTAAATTAAGGGCATTAAAATGTACAAAAATACACACAAACTTCATTTACAATTGCAATTTTCTTTTTCATTTGTTTTTTTTTGTTGTTGCCATTCTACATGCTGTACAACAAATGGTTAAGCAGATGCAAGGTCATGTATTTAAATACCATTACATTGCATGTGATAAATTGTTTCTTTAGATTTGTAATGTATTTCATCTGATTCACACCTTAATCACTTAACCCTGTGGAGTATACAAATTCACACTAATCAAAAACATGTACACATGCAGACACACAAGCTTTACATTCCATTGCAATTCAATTCCTTTCAGTAGATTTTTACAAATATTTTCTTTTGTCATTCTGCATGCATTCGACTGCCTCAGCTTTATTTCTAAATCTTAATCAATAAACCATACAGTAGAAAAAGCAGAATTGTACATACAATTGAAATATATATTCAATAGTTATTTCATTTTTCTTTCTGTTCGATCTTCATTCTTTTTTTATTCACTTTCATTCTTTTTGCCCAAATAATAAATCATGACATTTGCAACTTGAAGGTCATGGACTCAATTCCAAATGACTTTTTATAATACATCTTGTAAAAACATCTTATTCTGTTCTTTACCATTAAAGCCTTTGAAATATGAAAAAGGAAATATTTAAAAATCTTAAGCAGCAAAAAAATAATATTCAGACTTACTTAAACACTTCTACATTAATGTAAAAACACCAGGTGGCACCATTACCAATTGAGCTGGAGTTAAAAAACTGAGCACTAACCTGTGTCTTTGCGACTGATAGACTGTATGGGCCCCAGGTAGGTGGCACACACTTGTACACATTCAAAGACTACCAGAAGACGACTTTCCAAGTAATTTAAAGTCTGATTCATTGTCAAACTTCTTCAGTGGCACATCTGCAAATTAAAGTTTGACGTTCTTCTTGGATTATCTGAATCGCCCCTGTGTTTTGATCATGTTTCTGGACTTCAAAGTTTGACAGTTTCAGGCTTGTAACAAACACAGTCTTTGGTTTGTGGACGCACTCCTTCACCACTTAGCCAATCACCTTCAGTGCTGCTGTTTCTACTGACAGCTGTCTCACTGTCACCCCAACAGGTGTTATTAGGCCTCAGCTCGCTCTCTCTCTCCTCTATTCTGGCATCTGTGCGGAACAATGACAGAGGCTTTTAAGCCCGAGAGCTTTGACAAGCGAAAGGTTTCAACAAATGGCCACTCCGTCTATCCCCCCTGCCTGTTCTCTCTCGCTCTCTATCTCAGTATGTCACTTTCTCTCTCTCTCTCACCACGGCACTGTAATAGTTATTATTTTTATTTATTAACATGGCCGCTATTGTCCCTGCTGACAGCTCCTTCACTTTAACTATTAATAAAAATAGAAAGCCCTCTTTTATGTGACAGCCCGCAGCGGGGATCTGTGCAATCGTTTACTGCAAAATGGACAGAGAAGGGAAGCAGATATGCTGATGTATCTGTCTTTTATGGCAGCTCCCGTCTTGATCTCGTTCTTCATCCTCTCTTATGGTTTTGGAAGAAAGGGACTGTTGCGGTGGTGCCCTTTTGTGAAGGCCTTTGATAGAAGCACCTCTCAGTTTAGCATGTGAGGTTCCTTTTAGATTTTCAAAATGAAATAAGACACATGCTGGAAAATCACAAATGAGAACTTTGAAATATCTCTTTTGTTTCTACTACATACAGTAACAGTGAGGTTAAACAGAATAAATTGAGACCTTTTTAGTATATCAATAAAAAATACCTCACTAATCTTAAAAAAAAAATGCTTTAGAGTTTCAGAATTCTCAATCAAAGATCAATGCTGACCATAGCAAATTAGTTACTAATTGCTTATCTCAGTTATCTCCTCTAAAAAAAGTTAATACTAAAATTAATTATATCTAAAAGATGTAAATACATTGCTTAGTAATTGCATTAAAATGTGTAAATATACATATAAGAGAGGCAGAATAAAATTAAAAGAAGACAGAAACATTTGGGACTGGTCCCATTAGTATACTCCCAATACAGCAGCACAGCTTTTCTGCATTAACGCTAAGGGGTTTAGTTTGTGGCAGCTGGGTGGAACCCTGCGTATGCGCCCTTACGAGGTGGGGAGCACATTTTTGGTGGGACTAGCATAGCCTGAGGGGAACAGCGGAAAGAGAACAGTGTGACTCTTGAAAAAACACACAAAAAGGGTGTCTTTGAGAGATAGAGTGTGTGTGCAAAGATGTATTTCAATTAAACATAACGTGATTGAAAGAGAATGTAACAATAACAGAAAGCATTATTTCCTTGTAATGACACTATCCGAGGGAGCCAAACTTTGATTAAAATATATTTATAACAATAAAAATTAATAATAATAAAATGTTAGAATAAATGTTTTAACGGAGGAGTGAAAATCTGACATTTTTATGATCAGTGCACAATTGTTTTTTTTTTTATGATCCCTGGACCCAATTTTGAAAACTCCTGGAACAACCATACTTATCCATCCCTACTCATACGTCTCTATTTGTGTCGAGAACAGGATGTTCAGCAGACAGATCTGACAAACAAGCACGTCAGCTGCACACACTCATCTTTTAAGCGAATATGAGATCACAAACTCAACACACCAGCCATGCCAACATGGGAGAGGAAAAGTTAATCTGACAATAATAGGTGAATTATGGGGCATTATTAAAGTTCAGTGGCTCCAGAGGACTTCAGCAGCTGGGCAGAACCGAAGCCAAGATGTCCAGCCACCTGGCCCAGCAGCGTGGAAGAACCACTCAAGATGTGCCACCACTATGCACACTTTTAATCTTCACACACCCTGATCCAACTTAGGGCGGCCCGGGCTCCATACTTCACAAACAATTTCATCACCCTTTCTCTGTTTCTCTATGCCTCACCATTGCGATGCTATTTTTTGCCCAAAACGTTCTGACTCAGCCCGGCCAACTCCATTTTTCCAATTATCTCATATTTGCAAAGCCAATGAGATGTTTTGTTCGGAAAAGAAAGAGGGGGCGGGGGTTGGTTTTGGAGGAGTGGAGAAAAGCGGGGAGACGGAGGGGGAATGAGACAAGGAGAGCCAGGCCCACGGTGGACAACAAAAGGGCCAGTGTCCCAGCGCCAGCTTCACGCGGGTGGGGAGGGCTCACAGGAAAGGCCCTGGCTCGGGCCCGGCCCAGCACGCAGCACCAGAACAGGCTCCACATTGACTGCTCTTGGCAAAAAGCAACACGCTGCAGCAGCTCCCAGCCGCCACAGAGGTCAGGATTGAATAACCAATTATACAAGCACCCAGCTAGTTTATCTAAGGTTGGAGAAAGGACCATCACACACTTGCAGTTCAGTGCGGTATATATGTCCATCATGAGACGCACACACACGGGAGTCCAGCTGCGCTTAGATCTTTGCGAGTAGTGAATACAAACACACAGATGGATTTCAATCACAAAAACTAGTGATTAATTACTGCCTTTGTGACTAAAATACTGTAATCAATTAATGCAGTCCAGATCAGTAGTCATTTAGAGTGTCGAGTTTTAAAAAAAGTTCATGAGATTTTAAAAGGGGAACGGCAGAAGTTCGATGCAGAAACAAACACGCTGTGCAAACTCCGCTCCTGAATTCCCCTGTCAAATGAAAAGATGATTATAATCACCCTTGATGATCAATTTATGTACGGCTGTTATTTGCCCAGAGACTGTGTTGAAAATTCTTTCTAAAGGACGTTCAAACATCGGCGCTCGCTCATGTTTTCTCCCAGTGCAGTAGACACTGCGAGACTGTGAGTTTAGAAACGCACTGAGAAAGAAAGAAAAAAAAAACATTGGACCAAATCTCTCATCAAAAGCCGCCATTCAAGCTAAAAGTCCCAATTATGTGTGCCGATGGAGGAAAAGGCAATGCTTAGCAACACTCTGTACAAACATTCACACACACACACACACACACGGAGAAAGTCTTCTTTCTTCTTTTCCCTCAAAAAACACTCCTGCCTCAGAGAGGTGGCACAAGCAGAAAGGAAAAAGGGAAACATGGAGGGACAGAGTGCGATGGAGTGAGATAAGGTGAGAGTTTAGAGTCTCTGTGAAGTTGTAACGTGTAAAGCATGTGGAGTCAATGGAAAGAGC